CAAACACAGCCTAGAAATCAACTGAAAATTATCTTTTGAACTAATTTCCTCGAAGCTCACGGCCGTTTCGCAAAAACAGAAATCATATTCAGAATCAGAATTTTATGGATTTTCTAATGATATAGGTCATGGATTGTAACTCGAAACCATATTCAGATAGTTCCCTAGTTAGCCACATCAGGAAATTTTCTAGAATTCGCCGGTAAAAACGAAATCCCATCTTTTCCATACCCTGAAACACCCATCTACAGTTCTCCACAAAATGATGCTTGCACCCTTCGTTTGTACAAAAACACCTGATTAGGTCAATATTCGTGAAATGGTGTCGAAAAATAAAGGTCTCCCTTCAAAACCTACGTACAAAAAACTTGGAGCCATCAACGTGAACCGGAAACGAGATACCGGAAAAATTCCAAAAATCACGTTTTGGCCGATCCACAAAATGATGCTTCCACTCTCAAAAAGTGAGATTTTGGAGGTTTTTGAGCTCTGTGGCCACTTTTTGAAAGGCCAGAATTTGAAGAATTTTGGAGATTCTGACCCCCCATACATTGATATTCGAATACAGGGTTGCTGAATTGCGGATTCAGGATATTGGATTTCAATATTTCCAGATTCCGGAATCTGGTTTTCCGGATTCAAAATTCCGGTTTTTGGATTATGGATTATGTGTACTGAATTGTGTGTACCGAATTTTGAAATATGCATTCCGGATTCTGTATTCCGTATTCCGGGTTTCAGATTACGGTTTTCCGGATCAGCTTTTTGAATGAATTCAACTGTCATGAGAATCTGACAATGATATTCAAGTTTCCAATCATGAGAGGCGACCCCGGATTCCGCTATGACTACTGTATATTCAATAAAACGTGGGCGCGCCGCAGGTTGCAAAGTGACACGCCCCTTTATGAAACGCGTTCCCTTTTTCCTCTTCTCACGCGTTTCATAAAGGGGCGTGATTCTGGAGAATCTGTCAAAATCATTCATCCCTGAAAATCTCAGAACCTTTCGTAACCTCCAGGAAACTTCCTGATATTTGGAAACTTGAATATCATTGTCAGATTGTCATGAAAGTTGAATTCATTCAAAAAGCTAATCCGGAAAACCGGAATCCGAAACCCGGAATACGGAATACAGAATCCGGAGTGCATATTTCAAAATTCAGTACACACATTTCAGTACACATAATCCATAATCCAAAAACCGGAATTTTGAATCCGGAAAACCAGATTCCGGAATCTGGAAATATTCGAATATCAATGTATGGGGGGTCAGAATCTCCAAAATTCTTCAAATTCTGGTCTTTCAAAAAGTGGCCACAGAGCTCAAAAACCTCCAAAATCTCACTTTTTGAGAGTGGAAGCATCATTTTGTGGATCGGCCAAAACGTGATTTTTGGAATTTGTCCGGTTTCTCGTTTCCGGTTCACGTTGATGGCTCCAAGTTTTTTTGTACGTAGGTTTTGAAGGGATACCTTTATTTTTCGACACTATTTCACGAATATTGACCTAATGAGGTGTTTTTGTACAAACGAAGGGTGAAAGCATCATTTTGTGGAGAACTGTATTTCGTCGAAAAAAATATATTTTAAACCCCACAAACATAATACTATTGTTTTTATTTGTAAAATTTCAAATAGCAATCACTTTTTCGATTGGTAATGACAAAATCGAGAAAAATTCATTTAACAAAATATCAATTTTCAAAAAAAAAAACGGAAGTATTCTGTGGCTATAACCATTCTAGTCCTCATCCTCATTATCCGACATGACGATTCGCCTCTTGTACTTCATCTTCTTCGTGAACGGATCCTCATCCGGCTCTTCAGAAGTGTCACGGTCGTCTGAAATTCCACCAGCAGCCACCGATCCAGTCGTCAGAAGAGCGTTGACGTAGCTTCTCTAAAAATTAGGGCATTAAAAATAGTTGTATTTTCTATAGAATGAAATTTTTCTCTGAAATTTGACCGGAAGACTACTGTAGATTACTGTAGAAAACCTTCTATTTTGTAGAGTTTTTTCGCAAAACAATGTCTGCATTTTGACGTGATTGTGTTTGCGGAAAAAAACTACAGTATATACGGTTTTCTACACATATATGAATCTACATATTTTCCTACACATGTAAGCGCTGCTGAGCCGCTACTTAGCTGCCGACCGCTCCGCCGACACGCGACGCTCCCAAAACTTGGCTCTGTGCCAAATTTCAGATAGTTCACCTTATAAATCGCCGCCTCATCATCGCTATCATCCTCCGATGCCTTCTTTTTCTCTATCCTCTCTTGACTCTCATCCTCGCTATCACTAGAATCCGAATCACTTGCCAATTGGGTGATTTTTCGCTTCTTGTTCATGATTCTAGACATCAGGGTGTTAGTTTTGGGTGGGCTTGGAGCCGATTGCTCAGCTGATTTTTCTCTTGGCTTCTCCGACGGCGTTGGAACTCTCGGGACCTCCTCCTCCTCGTCATCCGACTCCAGAATCACTCGTTTTTTCGAGGAACTTGGCTCTGGTCTCCTCAATCCATCGTCATTTTCAGCGTCATCTTCTCCGTCTGAAGCTGCATCTGAAGCCACTGGCGGTTGCTCATCGTCACTGGAGTCGTTTATAAATTGCTCATATTTTTCCTTCTTTTTCTTTGATTTTCCAGCAACTCTCTCTACGATTTTCACCCCCATCGACGCAAGATATCGTTCCACTTGTCGTGTTGGCTTCTTCACACTCAGACGCTTCATCACGTAGGCAACCATGTCGACGCCCACTGGAAAAGAAACTTTGTATTGGTGTTCTGGTACTTGAATTTCAGATTTTTCTGAATTTTAGAATTTTCCAATTTTCAAAAAATTGAGTTTCCCATCTTACGAAATTTTGAAATTTCCGATTTTTCCAGATTTTCAAATTTCCTGAAATTTTCAGATTTTCTAGATTTTTATCGAATTACAATATTTTAAGGTTACTGTAGTTTTGTTTTTGAGACCTTCCACGGCCACCAGTGTTTGTATTCCACTGCGATTCTTTAATACCGTAAAACCTGTAATAAAAAGGCCCCCTATCTCGGTTCCTGATAAAGATATAAACAATTTGTCAACTGATAAATTGCTTATCATAATATCCTATACACTTTATCAGTTGACACATCTTTGATATCTCTTATAGGAGCTGAAATAATTGAGCTCAAACTTGACAGTATGGAGGCCCTTCTATTACAGGTTTTACGGTAATTAAAAAATTGAAATTTCGAATAAAAACTGAATTTCAAAAATCTCGAAAATTGGACAATTCAGAAAAATATGAAATTCAAAACTTTCGAAAAATCTGAAATTTAAATATTTTTAGGTTACGGTAGTTTCCATTGTGGGACCTTCGGCCACGCCCACCGGCTTTCCTCCTCCACAGCTCCACAAAAACAAAGACCTACACAAATTCTCCGCATCATCAATCTCCTCATACTGCTCCTTGAGCCCCGTCAACTCCTCAATCAACCCGCTATCCCATTCCGGCAACGGCTTCTCCTTCTTCGGTTTCTCGTAAAGAATATCCATGTGTGCCAATTGCTTGATAATCTTCTTTCTGGAAATTTCCGAACCCAGTGATTCCGTCAACTTCTCCTTCAGGACCTCCACAACGTCTCCAACGGATCCAGCCTCCTTCCATTCATCGTGCCACTTCTGAATATCGCCGACGGGGAGAACGGCGTCCATTCGGGAGCCTTCAGTGTTCTTCCATTTCGCTCCAAGAAGATCCAAACCGAATTCAATCAGTTTTTTGGCGATTTGTTTGCGTTGTCTGGAGCGGGACAGGCTGTGTTGAATGAAATCGAGCACATCGACTCCTGGAAAAAATTTTGGCAATTTTTCGAGTATTCTAAATAGGGCAGGAATCGGGATTTTTGGAATGCAAAAATTTCGGAATTTCGAAATTTCATGAAATATTCCAATTTCTCAAAAATTTGAAATTCCGGAATCTTCAGATTTTTAAAAATTTGGAAAATCTGAATATACGGAATTTTAGAATTTCGGAATATCAGAAAACTCTGATTTTGAAATTTTCGAAATTTCCAATTTTCAGCCATCACAAAAGCGTTAAAAATTATGAAAATAAAGAAAAATCTGAAAACCAAAAAATGGGCGGAGCTTTGCTAAAACACCATAATCCTTAAAGGATCATGTATTGTAATTATTTGCTGGGCTATTTTTTTGATTTTTTCATGAATTGTATCGATTTTTAGGATTTTTTCAAATAAAAACCGGAAAATTGTTCAAAAAATCATCAAAATGATTCAAGATTTTAAAGATTTTTAATGCGATTTTTTGTGAAAAAATTTTGAAAATATTCTTTTTTTTTCGTTTTTTCGATAAATTCCATCAATTTTCAACCATTTTTTCACAGAAAAAAAACGGAAAAATCGCAAAAAATCGGATAAAAACTACAAAAATTATCGAAAAATCGTTTTAAAAAATAATCGAAATTTTGAACTTTTTACGATTTTTCGATTATTTTAGTGCGATTTTTTTACTGAAAAAGTTAAAAATCGATGAATTTGTTGACTTTTTTGTTCGCAAAAATAGCTTTAAAAAACCGCTAAAATCACAAAAAAACCGCTTTAAAACTATGAAAAATCGTTGAAATTATCGAAAAATCGAGAAAAGATGTCAGACGATAGTTATAAAAATACATGCTCTTTTAAGGATTTTGCTACCGAACCTAAGCTCCGCCCACTTTTGGATTTTCGGAATTCCGTTAGAGCTCACTTACCCCCTTCCCCTTCCACCGACTTATACTCATCATACAAATTCCTCAACTCCGTTTCCAACTCTTCCGTCCAAACCTTGATATCTGCTTCCCTTGCCTTCGTATACGATCCATACCCATTATCAATCTCATAACACTCCTTAGGTCCCTTCCAAAACAACGCCTCAACTGCCAAATCCGCTCCCATTTCCGTGAATTTCGCAAAGAACTTTTTGAGCAAATGGAACCCAAATTGATATAATTCAAAGAGTGGGCTCGTCTTGCGAAGCTCTTTGGAGAGGTGCGAAAAGTGTTCGTTGACTTTTTGGAAGATTTGAAATAGTGAAACTTGATAAAGTTTCACTGGTAGCTTAATGTCGAAGGCGATTCTATGGAGCATCTTGACGAGCGCTTGGTTGAGTTCAACTGAGTTTTTTGAGAAGTCGTTGAGCAAGAAGACGTACCATTTGAGGACGTCCACGTTGGCAAATTTGGAGACATACAAGTCAAATTGGAAGTCAATTTCCTCGGTTTTATATCTATTTTCCTCATCGTCCTCATCTTCAGAATTCATCACGTCTCCTTCTTCCTCTAAACTTCCATCAAACTTCTTATTCGCCTCCTCCTCCGCCGCCTTCATCTCCTTCGCCACCTCTCCTAAATCTGCCTTCAGAATACCCTCCAACTCGCTGATTTCCTCTTTCACAGTGATTTCTGGCTTTCCAAAGAAGTCCTCATCGGGCCAGAGCCTTCTGGAGGAGTGGTACAAACCGATAGCCAAAGGCAAGTAGTTGGCTCGGAGAGCTCTTTGGATAGAGAGCATTGCGAATTGCTGTTGAGCTTGTGGAGCGACATCTAACTGCCAGTTTAGGGGATTCGCGTCTTCTGCCTCTGCGATCTCCTTGTTTAGAATGCCTTGGAGGGTTTCTAGGGTATTCGGGTCCTCCCAAAATGCCTCCAATGCCTCTTTTGTCATTTTATCAACTCGTTCATTCTCAGGAACGATTTTAGCCTCTGCTCTTCTCAGTGCATTTGCCACTTTCTTGAGGTCGAGCTTTAGAATCTTGTGAAGGTTTTCTAGTTCTCCCTCAGACTTAGCACTGTCAGTTCCAAAACTTCCATCGTCCCAGATTTTTCTAGAAGCATGATACAGCCCAACAGCCGCTGGAAATCCTCTAGCTCTTAGCGATCGCTGAATTGCTAGCTTCGCAAACTTCTTCTGAGTTTCTTCATTGATCCCTTCTAGCTGAGAATCGATTGGCTTCATTCCTTGAATCTCTGGAATCTCCTCGTTCAGAATTTGAAGAATCGTATCCTTAGACTCCTCCCATAACGCATCCAAAGCCTCTGATGACATTTTATCGAAGATGGATCTCTCATCATTTTCCTCCACGATTTTCTTTTGATTCTTCCGAATTTTCACCTTCTTCGTGACCTTTTTCAACGCTCCAACTTTCACAAATCGCTCCACAAGCTTGATATAGTGATGGGTGGTTAGTACAAGTTCTCTCAGGAAATTATTCGAAAGTACCGTACTCGAAAACTTCTTGATAATAGAGATGGGTAGCTCTCGGTACTCCTCGACGTTGGTAATGTGCTCCAGTGCTCTTCGAGCCCTCTTCTTCTCTGATTCATCCTTTCCATGCTCCACAATATATCTGTGAAGGAGGACTAGCTCGTTGTAGGCTCCTAGGGCGTATTGGGCTTTTAGGCCGAAACTTTTGGCTTCAACGCCTTTCAAGGTCATGGCATTCTCCACGTATTCAGTGAGTTGGACGTTGTTCTCGTGGAAGGCTTCCATACCTGCAAAAGTGGTTTTTTGGGGTAAATGAGTTTCTGAATTTTTGGGATATCCGAATTTTAGAAATTCAGAATTTCTGGAATTTTTCAATTAAAGAAAAATTTTGAAATTCTAGAACTTTCTGATTTTTTTTTGAAATCCAATTTTTCTGAAATTAAAAAAATTTTTAGGGAAATTTTGAATTTTATGGAATTTCTGAAAAATTGGTTTTTTCTACTTTTTCAGCGAAAAATCCCAAAAAAAAATACTGCTAAAAATGAGCCATTTTACGCATATTTGGGTTGGTGGGCTAGAAACCCAAAAGTCTCAAATTTCTAGGCCACTGACCCTAAATTTTTCGCCGAATTCTGAATTGACATTGAACTTCGATAAAAAATCGGCGAAAAAAGAGCCATTTTAAGCCTAATTAGGCAATGTTCTGGGTTAGTGGCCTAGAAACCCAGAATCTCAAATTTCTAGGCCACTAATTCACAAAAACAATAAAAGATTCAAATTTCTCATTGAATTCCCATGATTTTAAACTCCATATTGACCTACTTTTGTAAAATTTGAGTTAGGATTCATTTGTGTAAAAAATTAGGCGAAAAATGGGAAAACTTCAAACTCTTGGGTCCCGCCACGAAAACTACAGTAACCCGCGAATTTCATGAAAAGCGGTCATGAATGAGCAGTTTTGGAATTTTTAGATAATTCTGAAAAAAACTTTTTTTTGGAATTTCAATTTTTTTCAAAAACGCTCTAATTTGATTAGTTTTCATTCGATTTTGGCGATTTTTAGCTTAAAATGTAGGGAATTTCCTAGAGCTGTTACCGTAATTTAATACTTTTAGCGTAAGTTTTTAACCGAAATTCTCCCTACCTGTGCACTCAGAGATTCTCTCCAGAAGCGTGTCCATCTTCCCCATCCTCACAAATCGAGAATAAATTTAACCATGAAGAAATAGTTGATTTGGGATGTCTTATGAATAACATGTCCTTGAACGAAAACCGTCGATTTTGCACTTTTCATCAGTCGATTGAAGCATGTTTCAATGAGTCGAATAACCATATCCTTGAGCATTTTTTGAACCTCACTAGATGCAAAATGAGTGTTGGTGTCGATTTCAAAAGGTCTTCGATTCCTAGCAACTCGCTTTTTAGCCTTCCTTTCATCGAGAAAATTGTGCTTTTCAACATTTTGAATGGGCTTGAAGACCACTTGATTCGAATTAGAGCTAATTCCTTTTAGCCCTTTGATGGTGTAAGATCCCCCGAATCTGGAGAACGATTTCCTCTTTTGGGTCTCTCGAACAACATGATTCTCAATGATTTTCCTGAATTCTTCCTCCGTTTTCTTCTTCTCGGCTGCAGAAATTTCGGATTCGTCTTCCGATTTAGAGAGGCATTCTGGACTCTGCTCCTTTAAAATCAGCGCAAAAATGTCCAGGATAGTAATATGGAACTCTTTTTCTCTGGGCTGATTGGCGATATGCATCAAGGTCTTATCAATTCCAGACTCGAGAAACGCCAGAATCACTCTGTCATGATTACTATCCTCAATGCGAGTTCTGCGGCCTTCTGAAGTGTCTGGATTGATTGAGAAGATGTATTTGATGAGTGAAACGATTCTCTCCACAACCAGTCGAAGACGTTCATCACGATCGTCGAAATCGGTATCGATGAAGTAGGCGTCGATTCTTTTCTTGATGGCAACGAAGAAGTAGGCGTCGGTGAAGGCGTTTTTAGCGCGACGGAGGTTTTCCTCGAGTTCCCAATACATCTTCCATTGATCGCGATCTGTCGGAGGCTTTCCGCGCATTGTGGAGATGGCTGGTTGGCACAGATTCACCATTAGTCTGGAAAAAGATACCTTCTAATCTTTGGAAAATTCGATTTCAGATTTTCCAAAAATTTTAATTTTTACATTTCGAAATCTTCGAAACTTTACATTTTTCGAAATTTTCGTGGGTCTGCTAATTATTTCGCAAGCAAAAATAATTAGCAGACCTACGAGACGCAGAGAAAGTGGGTCTGCTAGTGTTTTTGGCTTGCGAAAAAATATTTTTTATGATTTCCCGTATTCATTTTCTTGTTTTTCGCTGATTTTTTTGTTATTTCTACCCGAAAAAGTCGGAAAATCTGAGTTTTTGATATCATCTTTGTTCAACGGGGATAAACCTTGCGGGTGAAAAGCCATTTGAAAGCTCATCGTCGTTTTGTACTTTAGAATTCTATATGGCTTTACTTCATTATTTTAGGTCATTTATCTCGATTATTCGGATGCTTTTCATAGTTTTTTCCAGCTGAAAATTGAAAAAAAACTTTGCAAGTCATCCGAAAATCGAGAAAAATGGCTTTCAGGGCAAGCAACGTTCATTACCAAAAATCCGGAAAAACTCGCAAAAATGGGCTTTTTTGGCCGAATCTTCCAAATTTTACGAATTTCTGAAATTCCAAGCCTACGAACCTAATAGCGATGTCAAATTCGTCATCACTCAAATCCTCACACTTCACCATTGGCACCAAATCCTGTTCGATCAAATTATGCCGTCCGCATTCGATTCGAGCGCCGTAGTCCTCGCCATCTTCTCGTAAATATCGAATTAGGTCACGGATGGTTTCTGGAAAAACGGAAACTTTTAAAAAAAGTGAAAATTCAATTAAATTACCATAACAATCTGGTTCTCGGAAATATTTGCCATCCTCACAGTAGCCGAGAGCTTGGACAGCTCCCTGGATTAGTACATTCATATTCTAGAGAGATGGAACTCTGAAAAATGTAAATTTTGAGGTGAAAGACCTCGGAAAATAGAAATTTTTACGATAATTTTTCAAAAACCAATTGTAGCCACCTGAATATCGAAATTTTACAAATTTGAGTGATTATGATATGAAAATGCATTAATATCCTGTTATACTCGAGAATTTATTAAAGTTTATTGACGAAAATTGACTGAAAATCGCTGAAAATTGGCTGAAAACAGGGCAAAATCATTCAAACAAGACATTTTCGCGCGCAATTCGGTGTCATGCAGAAAAATGGGCGGAGCCTTTGCACACACAAAACATAGCGGGCAGCGGAACCCGGGTAATGTCGGCTGCAGCGAAAACATATAAGCCCTCGTCTCGCTGCTCTCGTCGGTTTTAACCCAGTTTAACCAAGGTTAGCTGTCGTTTCGATCTCTCGAAAGAGTGTGTCGAATAGAAACACCAATTTTTGGAACCGCCTCTTCGGGGATATCCGTTGAGGCAAAGTGATGTATCGTGTGAAATTTTCAAAGGACTTTGTAGTGGAAGCAGGCGAATGTTCAGGCGGATGTTTTGCATGCATGTTGAACGTAGCCAAGGTGGAGACTCTGATATTGAGTCCAAACAGTAATTCAGCTCCACTTCTGCAGTGAACAACATTTTTGGGACATTTTATTCAGCTGATGTGAGAGACAAAACTACAGAGAAATATCACGAAACTTGTAACCTTTTATTCAGAAAATAAAGATGTATGAAGGTGCCCAAATGAGGTTCTCGAAAAAAATAACAGCAACTTTTGGAACAATGCAAAAAATTTATGAGTTTTTGATCGGAATACATAGAAGCAAACGAGTTGGTTTTTTCGAGACCGACTTTTGAGGTACTCCTATTTTTGAGGCTGTGTATCTCGGCTCCTGTGAAAGATATCAAAAAGCGTCCAACTGACAAAATGTCGCTGACTTTCTGATTAACATTTTATCAGTTGACCACTTTTCTGTAACTTTGACAGAAACCGAGATAAAATAGAGCTCGGTTCCAGTGAGAGGAATTAAAAAGCTGTCAACTGATAAAATGTTTATCATAATATCAAAAACATTTCTTCAGTGAACCATTTTTTGATATCTCTTACAGAAACCGAGATAAATTGGCTCAAAGTTGGGTGGGGGTTACGGTATTCATAGGCAACTTTCATCTGTCAGTCTGCAAATCAATCTTAAAACTTGACTAATTTGGAACCGATTACAATATCATGGTAAAAAAGATTTTTCAAATTGTCAACAGCTTTATAAGGACTTCAAAAGCTCTGATCCGTTTGAATCTTTATTTGTTACTTTTAAACTTTTTTGAATCAGAAACTTTCTTCTGTTTTCTCAAGACTTTTAGTTGACCGAAACTTCTCATTTTCAGAATCTCTTACTCCATTATTGTCCCAAAAGACATCATCGCTCACATACACACCAACCCATAGCAACCCGTCCCGTTACTATGCCAACGACTCACATGAGCCTACACTTCCTTATCACCTAAACTCTGCGTCTCTCAACTCTACCATTCCTATTCTAATCTGCGTATCGTCTCTATAATAATATTCTTCTGTTTATTCATTCTCTACACTTTAACAATTTGTTCCCAAACTCTTCTGATCCTATCACTTCTCGGCAGTTATGTCAAAAAGGTCAATTAATCCCCATTTCTGTAAGAGATATCAGAAATTTGTCAGCTGATAAAATTGTTTCGTATTATCTCCAAAATTTTTATAATTTGCAGTTTCTTGATTTCGCTAAAGGAATTCGAGTTAGAGCTTTTCTAGTGTAGACCCCTCTATTTTCCGAAAAACTCCTGGAGCGCCCTTCTATTCGAGGGATCCTTCGATTGAATAGGCTTTTTTTGATACAGATTTTGCTGTAACCAAAGTTAAAGTCAGAGTATAGGGGTGCCGTGGTATCGGAGGGATTACCGTATTTTGTAGACGGCACTTTTCGTTGCGGGACCCCAAAAGTAATTTCAATTTTTTCCAGAGAATCCCTCCGCCAGGTTTCTCAAGTTGAGAAATTCACGGTAGATGACAACCCGATAACCATAACAAGCTTGAAAATATACCAGATGCCAAAACAGTTTCTGAGCCGAAAGAAATTTTGCATCGAACAACATTGGCGATCCCATCGCCGCATGGTAGTAACAAGCGAGAAACGAGCAAACTCGAATAAAATTATCGATAAACTCCTGACCATTTTCGAACGGAAAGACATTGCCGTAGAGGAGTTTATGATCGGAGATAACTTCATGGAGTTGGCTCATCGTCGCAACCAAAATCTTGACCCAAAAAAGCTCATGGAGATGGCTTTGGAATTTCTGAAGGTCGCCAAAGAGAGAGGGATCACATTGAAGATTAACCATTTGAGAGTGCAATACCCTGTGGAGAACCGGTTTGAATTCTTGAAGAGTTTCGATCCAAAATCAATGAAATCAATCATGATGGCTGGACACACCGATTGGATGGATGAAGGGGCGTTCAATGAACTGATGGAAGTTCCACAATGGCCAAATTTAAAAATTCTGGCTATTGAGCCATTGATTCATGCGGAGCTGGGTCTTTCCATGATGTGGATTCGCTGAGTTTGGTATTGGAACATTTGGAACCTGTATGGATTGCGGATCTTATCAAGGTAGGGGAGTTACAATCGCTTCTCTGCGCCTCTTGTCAGCTTTAAAGCCGCATCACTCAGAAACTACAGTAGCTAGGTGAAATTTGAAAATTCTTTAATATTTCATGTCTCCTCATCTTTAAATTTGAAAATTCTTCAGAACTTCCTCACCAAGCAACCGTCTCCTAGAACATGCTTCATTATCAAAGGGCTCGAGATTTTCGAGAATGAATCATTTCTCCGAACTGTTATTCAAGAATACTTTGGAGAGAATCACAAATTCCATTATGAGTGAGTCGGACTGCAAAAAACCAAAAACCTTCACCTCTCCGTTTCAGTCCTGATCGTCAACTCTTCATGCTTCCATTCAACAAACAGTACATTTTTGCGGTGTTCCAAATAAGACAAAGCATATGTGGAGGATTCAAAATGCGCGCTCACAAGGGAACCATGTTCAGCCTTCATCTCAGAATTTTTTCTAAATTTTATCATTTATAGTTTCAAATACGGGCTTTCTTTTGGTGTATTTGGTTTTCTGCACAAATTTCTAGAAGTCGAGTTATGGGCTTTTTAAGTGATTTCAATGCTAATTTCTCACTTTTGGAGTAAATTTTTGGAAGGGTTAATGGGAGTTTTTCGGCATTGTTTGAGTGTCAATCGTAATTTTAAAGGTTTCTCTGCAATCTGACAAAGTTTCCTCATTTTTCAAAAAAAATTTTTTTTCATGGCGAAACTGGCGATTTTTTCAATTTTTCGAAAAAATTTTTAATGTGCTAAAATGAAGCATAAACGCATAAAAATGATAAAATGAGTGTTTTCACAAGATTCTGTAGCCTATATCCGTTTTGAAATCCCAAATAAGTTATTTCTTCCAAAACTCCAATGGACCGTAGTCCTTCGAAAATCACCCAAGAGCACTCAAATCTTGTGAAAACATAGATTTACATACTTCTTGACTGATTTATAACAGTTCCGCAACCGATATGATCTTATCGGGGGGTTTCGACTGACATTTTGAGTAGATAAGGCTTTTCAGCAGTGCTTCAAGAAGTTTTCAGAAATTATCTTTTTCGAGCTTTTTTCCTACTGAAATAATAAAGCAAACATAGTTTTGAATTTCGAAAAGTTCAAAGCATTCCTCCAACATCAAAGAAAAAAAGAAAAAGGAAAATGGACAATGACGGAATCGAACCCCAAACTTGTGATTACTATTCATCCACACTACACAGGTCCTGGGCGCGCATACGCATAATGGATGGGCGACGGAGGACGCGCCGATGAATTGGGTACAGGGAAAGGGCGCCGGTATGGGGCATATACGGGGCATATGGGGCACACCGCCGCCGCAAAGCATCTCCTCGCCTGGCTTGCTGGCACTCGATGAAATGAACTAAAACGTTGGTTGGGGGTTCCTAGAAGTATCAGTTAAGTTCTATTGTGATGTGATTTTGTTCAGGTCTTCCGATTTCGTACTTTTCTTTTATTATTCCATATTTTTTTATATTTTGAACGACATATTACTGATTTTTCGAAACTCAATGTTTTTGTTTTGAAAAAGACTTATGGCAGTTTCTATTTAAATTTGATATGCAATCAAAAACAGAAGAAAATGGGAAAAAATTCGCTAAAAATTGTTTTTTTTTCATTTGTTCAAAAAATGTCTCACTTTCACTTTTTTGAAATTGCATGAAAAATTGAAAATTTTTATAATTTACACTTTGTAATTATAGCAATTAACGAGTGAAAGACATGTTTCTGCAAGAATTCAGCGATTTTTTATTCTGCCATAACTCTTTTTCACAAAAAACATCGAAGGAATAATCGAAAAACCAGAAATGTAGGCTCGAATTGACGAAAAATTGTCAAAGTTGCCGGTGTGGATTTACGGTAAACAATGGGCGCATCCGGGATTTCGAGTGTTGTAGTCGGCCTCCTGTATCAGACCCATATCGCACACATCGCCCACCCACCCAGAATCTATCTAGGATACGCGCGCATTCGGAACACTCGATTCAGCCTCTCCCACATCGCACACATATGAGACTCATCGCAGCTCGTTGTTCGCGATATGTGTCAAGCGGACTTCTAGAGGATCGCATATGGATCGGGTCCTTTATGCGCATCATCGCCCAGGACCTGTGTATCCACTCGGCCACTGCTGCTCGTTTCTTCCACATTGGAGAATGTATAGAGGAAAGGGGGGGAGTGGAAATTGGCAAAGTTGCCGGTGTGAAATTTGTGCAGAAAACCAAATAAACCACGAGAAAGCCCGTATTTGAAACTATAAATGAGCAAATTTAGAAAAATTTCTGAGATGAAGGCTAAACATGGTTCCCTTGTCAGGATCCGACTTACAATGAATTCATCTTCAGACTCGGATCTTACTCGCCTATGTTCTTTCATGAATTATGAAGTATAATACCATAAACACTCTAGGTTACCCTAACTTGAACTTTGAGCTCAATTATCTCGATTCCTGCAAAAGATATAAAAAATCTGTCAACAGAAAAAAGGTTTTTATATTATCGCTAATCTTTCATCAGTTGACGGATTTTGATACCTCCTTTAGAAATTGAACTCGAAATGCAAATATAGGGTTTCCTTCTATTGGAGTGCTTACGGTACTTGTGATTTTACTAATTGAAGAGATTTTTATAATAAAACAAAAATTTGGGATTTTTAAAATTTTCTTTCAAAGTGTGTCCGACGGTCCCAAAACAAAAAATGTGTGTTTATAAATTTCTGTACAAAAGGGAAAAATCCCTCCGACCGGAGGTCAGTATAGAGCCACCTAACTTTGAACCAATTTTTCTCGGTTCATGTGAAAGATATCAAAAAGTAGTCAACTAACAAAATGATTGTCATAATATCAAAAATATTGTTTCACTTGATCTTTTTTTCCATATCTTTTACAGGAACGGAGATAATGAAGCTGAAAGTTGTCGATGTGGGGGGGGGGGTCGCATTCAATGTCCCCGAATTTTCCCAAAACCTTCTCACCTACTTTGTCTATATTCACATATGTTTCTTCATGACTCAACTTTTTTATTATTCCCCCATCATCTTCATCTCTCCGTTTCAAATTGGCACCCTTCCCCACACTGCCATCCCACTACTAATCGCATTGGCACCTGGGAATCGAGAACCTATCAAAACTCAATCCTCCATCTTCCCCTTCTTCTTGTTCATCTTGACTCCCTCCCAAGCCAGCGACCAAACGCGGGGGATGTGGCTCAGTTTAAAGAATCCTCTCTTCTTGTCTGCGTGTCTGCTGTCTCTCTGATTGGCACGCTCTATCGTGTCGCAGAATTTCAGGCGTTTTTGTGTTGGCATCTGAAGGGATAGAGGGATGAGAGATATGAGGGAGAGACTTCTGGTGAGCATTTGTTGTTGTTGATCCATTATCAGGCCATGTGCCCCCTCAGGCTCTCTGTGAACATTTTCCTTTTTTCTCTTTTTGATTCTTTGGCTTCTAGAAGTTTCTACCGTAAATGCGTTAATAGAACCTTTGAGCTCAATTATCTCCATTGCTATAAAAGATATCGAAATTTTATCAACTGATAAAATGTTCGTCTTATTATTACCAACATTTTATAAGTCGAAATAATTTTGATATCTCTCAAAGGAGCCGAGATAATTGAGCTCATAGTTCAAGTATGTAAGGTGGCGTGCTGTTTGAATCAACAACTTCTTCTTTGAGTATAATTATCTCGCTTCTCGTGGAAGATATCAAGAATCTGTTGCCTGATAAAATGTTTGTAATGTTATCATAAACATTCTATAGGTTGACAAAAATTTGATATCTTGTATAGAAACCGAGATATTTGACTTGAACTGTGATAGCTACTCTCTAATGTTCCATCGCCTGCGGTTTTTTGGCCAAAAATATCTCGGTTCTCATTGAAAATCGAAAAAATACTCAACTAACAAAATATAAAAAATGTCATGGAATTTTTTTTTTTGTTGACAACTTCTTATCAGTTCTTGTCGGAAGTGTGATATTGAAAGTCAAATATTATGATTTAAAAAATAGAAATTGTTTTTTTTTTTAATTTCAGCTTTCTACATAAAACCAATTGAAAATTGAGATTCTGCAAGCTTTTTGCCTCAAAATGAGCCCAAACACGACTAGGCTCCGCCCCCTCTGACTTTTTCCTGTTGAACACGCGACGCATGACAGCGACGCGTCCGAAAAAGCAAAGTGGGCGGAGCTTAGCCATGTTTAGGCTTATTTTGAAGCTTCAGACAAGACCAACATAAAATATTTTCCAAACGGATTGCCAAAACCGTATCAGTATATTTTTCATAAGAACGACGGGAAATTCTGGACCACCAAAGGCAAAAGTACGGTCATAGCTCATTTTGAGGGTTCACTGAAATAATTCGTGTTTAGAGTCATTTCGAAGCTCTCTATACACGAAATTCAAATTTGTTAATTTTGTTTAATACTCATTTCATCGGAATGTACCATACAGAGACTAGAATACATTTACAGTGCTCACTACAGTAAAATGTCCCTAGATGTCCGATTTTCCAAATTTCATAACACCTCAATGATTAAATCAACACTATATTACCTCCGCAAAAACATGATACATCTAAATCTTCCTTTGTTATCCGATTTCAATTGAACACATTTTTTTCATTAGCTTGCAAAAAAAAAGTACATACAATGACCCCCTGTCTCTCATAGACTCATACTGTTTCATTCTGTCCGCGCAAACAAAAAAAAATAGAGTTTCTCTTTTTATTTGTGAGTTCTCAACCCCACAAAACTACCTTGGGTATCCTTATCCCCAACTTTATCTTCTCTACTCAAAGCAACAAAAAAATCTTGAGAAACTATACTATTCCCTAAACTTCGCATATAAAATATTATGGTGGCGTCATCTGTAAAACTAGATCCCATATTCGAGGATGCTCCTTTATTACCACCATTGCCTGAGGATAAGAATCCCATCGGGCATCGGTTTGAGTCTGAACCAACTAGGTAAGGTTTGAGCTTAATTATCTCGGCCCCTGTAAGAGATATAAAAAATTTGTAAATTTTCTCAGTTGTCAAAACTTTGATATCTCTACAGGGAACCGAGATAATTAGGCTCAAAGTAAGAGTCAATGCTCTAACAGCACGTCATCCCTATACTTGATCTCTGAGCTCAATTATCTCGGCTCCTGTAAGAGATATCAAAAATTTGTGAACTAGCAAAATGTTAATGATATTATGATAAATATCTTATCAGTTGAGATATTTTTGATATCGTTTATAGGAACCGAGATAATTGAACCCAAAGTTCGTTACATAATCTCTCTGTAAAGCTTTGACGTCTAATTTGTCTCTGTGTAGCTGTTTCCTCAAAAATTAATTTTTCGAATTCCCGCCACTCCATTTCTATTCCATTCAAGACCCAAACGAATTCCAGAGCCAACGCACTTGCGGCGGCGAAACGGCTGCTTGACGATTCGCGTGGACAATCGTGGGAGCAGTTAGCCAGAAAGTACACGCTAGGTCTATCAGCGGCGCCTTGTGTTGAGAGGTGAGAGATAGAGGGGAAAGTAAACAACAAAAGTTGGAGGGCAGAAGATAAGGGATGATAAGAGAGAAGATCTCTGAAGATAATGATAACAACAAACTTATTGATGATTGGGTTGAGGGCAAAATGGAATCTTTCGTTCTGAATTGTCTTGGAGTAGAAAATTTGTGGAAGAGGTTAACCAAGATCATACCATTTTGGTACCTTTAGTAGGAAATAACATACCTTAAAAGGGCTAATTCAAGACCTCTCAAGATGTACTTTATCCCGACCTATGAGAGATATCAAAAATTTGTCAACTGATTAAATAATTTTGATATCATAATAAAAGTTTTGTCAGTTAACTAGTTTTTAATATCTTTCACAGGAACCAAGATAAATCAGCTCAAAGTTTGACTGTTAGGTGACTACAACTTTCTAGGGAAGGCACCGCTTACTTAGGTTAAGGTTAAGCCAAAACCTAAGGTACGCGTTATAACCTACATATATCATCTAAAAGCTGAAAGTTTGCTCATTCCAAAATCAATTTTAGAATAGACATTGTCCGGGTAGTTTTCGAAAAAATGGATCATGAGTTCCGAAAAACCGACTTTCTCTAGTTACGGTGCTTCTATTTAAAGCTGAGGAATATTGAAAAAGCTAATAATGAAACCATGATTTTTCCAGATTATCCGAAGAAGAACTCGACGAAAGTTTCGACACCATGCCAGAATACCATAACTACCGTTTCAACCGCAGCAGATCTGTCGATCTTAGCTCAATTTCTAGGTAAGATATTTCGAAAGAAACCGACTTAAACCAAGTTCACTTTAGTCAAATTTATCTCGGTTCCTATAAGAGATATCAAAGATTAGTCAACTGATAAAATGCTTATTATAATATCAAGAATATTTTATCAATTAATTACCTTTTGATGTAACACACAGGGACCGAGAAATATTGCCTAAAACTCGGGTAATCACTTTCGAAGGTAGGACTTATGGATTGCGATTTCTAGGATCAAACCTCCATATTTCAAGGGAAATAGGACCCTTCCTAAAACTCAGCTTCAATCTTTCAGGGAAAAATACCTGTCAAGATGGTCCAGAGAAAACACACCGGTGGACAACGAGAAGCGGTACGCATCTCACGTTCGTCGTAGCTACACTCCAGTCCGTGACATCGCCTCAGTCGAACATGTCAACGATGGGAACCTTCATCGTTCGAGAACCCCAATTGCAGCCGTCACAGCTCCGTATCACACGAATATTCACTACCGATCGGAAATCGAACCATTCCGAAAATACGATACATTCGGTTTGAGAACCTGGAGCTACCCAATCTATAAGTGAGTTTCTTTATTCTTATGATCTTTTTCCTTGAAGCCTAGCTTCTTTTTTTTTGCATTTGTGTCAAAAAAATTTTTCTCTTGCCACTGGCACGTCAGTTTAACAATTCGGGGTTCGAAGTGTCATGGCATGTTGTGTTTTTTCGTTCAAAAATACATTCTCATAGACTTTATGAGGCTCATAGAAATTTGAGAAAAAAGAATGGGGAGAAAAATGTGTCAGGGATGTCATAACTCGTGAAGTTTCGAAGCTTTTCCAGATACGTATACGGACGCGAGGGTGACTACCGACGACCATACTCATTCGATAGAAATTACGGGACCACACCAGTCTATACACCACCACAGCTTGCCGCAGAATCACGACCGATCACGACGAGACGGGGGTATTTATTTCGGTTAATAAGGGCTTAATTACCATGAGTTTTTAGATACTCCGGCTATTCGTATCTTGCCAATGAGACCCACTTTGACATTGCCAGCCGTCCGAAGAGTTTGAGCTCATATATGTACAATACAAAGTACCTGGGAACAACGTAAGTGAAGGGAGGGTTGTAGGCAGTACAAAAAAGTAATTTTGTATTACACAGTCTTTTAAAGATAGCGGGACATGTAAAAAATATTTTTCTTGAAATTCCGTTTATATACGCCTATCGAGGAGTTGAACTTGTGGACCCAACTCTGGAGGTGCCGCGCCGCANCCGCGAGCTGAGCGGTGGTGGGCCCCCAAGTTCNACTCCTCGAGGGACTTATATTAATTGAATTACGAGAAAATTATTTTCTGATGAACTTCAATTTACGTTTTTGCTATTGAAATTACAGTGCATTTTTCAAATAACCCTTCAATTGTTTTTTCATTTAATTCGTATTAACTTTGAACCCTTAAATCTCATTTTCTTTTTTTTTGTAAGAGATATCAAAAATCTATAAACTCTATAAACTACAAAAATTTCGCTGATATTATGTCAAACATTTTATTAGTTGACCACTTTTTGATATCTTTTATAGAAACCGAGATAATTGAGCTCAAAGTTTAATTTAATTTAATTTAATTTGTTTATTGATCAGGTGTAATGAAACAATAGAGGACAGGACATGAAAGACTCAGAAAAAATGCCCCCTCACGAGGCCGATCTGAGTAGGGGAGGGGAAACGGGATAATTTAGATATTTGACACAGGAAAGATGTAACCGGTAGAAAAAGAAAAATAGGGAGCAAATATATCAATAACGGGTAATACTGGAAGAAATTAAGGATTCAAACTCGGAAGGTAGGAGAAATCGGGTAACTTGGGAAGTGATGGCGTTCCACAGGGGAACAATTGAAGAAAAATAGTCAGAGGAGTAGGGCTGAACAATAATTAAGTTCATAGGGCGACGAGGGGAGGAGGAGTATTTGACATGTGCATTTAGGTTAGGAAAGTAGGCGGAGCCATTTAAAAATTTATAGAGAAGAATTAGTTGAGCTTTTAGCCTACGATGTCGAATGGAGAACATATTGAGGATAGAGAGACGATCAGAATAGGAACTGTACTGGATATTACAACGCTGGAAAATACACTTAGAGAAAAACCTTAAGGGAGATTCTAGTTTTAGAGCAAGGCGAGAAGAAGGCGGAGGGGAATAAACTACAGAACAGTATTCAAGAATCGGGAGAACATAACATTTGAAAAGATGAATGTAGAATTTTGGAGACTTAGATCTAAATGACTTTAAGAGTTGTTTGGAACGGAGAAGAGCTAAAGATGTGATTTTGTTGATGTGAGCAGAGAATTTGAGAGAGGAATCAGTAATGAGTCCCAAGGAATCAGTAATGAGTCCCAAAGTTGACGGTTAATATAGGCGTTTCGTTAGAGTGCGTACTGTAATTTTGTACGCTAATATCTCAGGAACCATCAAAGCTAGAAAAAATTGTTAATTAGCAAAATGTGCAAAATTTTAATTGCTACTTGTTAACAGTTGGCACATTTTTCATATCTGTTATCGTTTTTGAGATATGCGCAATTTAAATCCATGATGTATGTAGCACAGAGCAGAGATCTTTTGTTTTGAGCCAATTTTTCTTGTTTTCTGTAAAAGATATCAAAAAGTTGTCAACTGATGAAATGTTTATCATAATATCATAAATATTTTGTCAGTTGATTACTTTTTGATAACTCTCACAAGAACCGAGATAAATTAGATCAAAGTTGAAAGCAAGGCATTTTCCCTAATCCTTCTTATTATTTTTCTAGATCCGCCCCATGGTACTGGTCCTACTACGGCAACAGTCATCTCCGCCACTTCAACAGCTATCGTCCACACAACTACACAAGCTCCACTGCCAGCTGGTCCCGCTATTATTAACTTTCGATCGATTCTTCTTTCCCCCCTGTTCTTCCCCTGCCACGTCATCGCTATTCTCTTCTTCTTCCCCCAAAATCTTGTAGGCTTTTGCGATCGACCTCTTCTTTCCCAACCCAATTTTATCAGTTTTTTTTTAAAAATTAAACACAAAACTTTATTTGTAAAAAGTCCCAAACATTTCTCTCTCCACGACTATAGAGTTATATATGGTTAATAAATTCTTCAACTTGATTTTTGATTTTGGGTTACTATACTTATGAACAGTCAAATGAAAGGCATCAGAACTGACGTAACAGCCAAGCATCTGGAAATAGATCATATCGTATTTAATAGTACCGTAAAACCTGATTACGGTAGTTCGCCCGGACACCAGATATTCTCTTCCACAGCTCTGATAAGAGACTATTAAACCAATTCAATTAATAGCATACTTGTGGAAAAGATGGCCGGCCCGCGGCCATCTGAGATTTTTCTGGAAGCGGGCCGGCCCGCTTTTTGAAAATTTCGAAATTTTAGAGCAAATCATCATTTTTCAAGATGGCTTTTCTCCTTAATAAATAAAAATCCACACTAGAGGACGATTCTGTCGAAAAAAACTGTTTTGAGGTCGTTTTTAGAAAAAAAATTTCATCCTTGGCTTAATGAAGTTTGATTTTTTTGCTAAAAATTCAATTAAAATGACTTTTTTGGATGGTTGTATGCATTTGGATTAATATTTGTGCTATTAAAAATATATTGGCACATTTGAAAAGTAACATTTTCGAAAAGTTGTCCTAGGCGGCCCGGCCCGGCCATCCACATGTATGATTAATAATAATAGTAAGGTTACCTTGAACCCGAAAGTACTTGGTATTTTGATCTCCTTGCGGCCTACGTGATTTTCAGAACAATCCTTGGTAGCCTACAAATAGAAAAACACACATACACTATATCTTATCATTCTCACTAATTGTCATCATTTGGTCACTCATATAAAACACACTGTTTTCTGTTTGGTCACTTTCCCCTTTTTTCTTATTCCCTCTCTGTTTCTGTTTTTCCCAACGCCTCCCAACTTTGAACCCATATATCTCGCTTATTGTAAGAGATATCGAAAAGTAATTAACTGACAAAATGTTTATCATAATGCCAATCACATTTTCGTAGTTGACAAATTTTTGATATCTTTTACAGGAACCGAGATAAATTAGCTCTATTTAAGAGGAAAAAAAATGCCAAAAATCGCCATTGTCCAAGCCGGTACAGTACTCTATGACAAGTCTGCAACACTGGCTAAAGTCAAAAAATATGTGGATGAGGCAGCTGGAAATGGTGCAGAATTGGTTCTATTCCCAGAAGCATTTATTGGTGGATATCCGAAGTGGAACAATTTTGGGATCACAATGGGTACAAGGACACCAGAAGGAAGGAAGGAATTCAAAAGGTTGGTAACCTACCGTGCACTTCGAGCTCAATTATCTTGGTTCCTATCGAAGATATGCAAAATTTGCTTACTAAAAAATGTTGGCAATTTCATGCTTAACATTTTATCAGTTGACCACTTTTTGTTATCTTTTGTAGAAACCGAGAAAATTAAGCTCAAAGTTGAGTGACTTCTTTATGAACTCATAATATATTTGTAGGATCTTTGAGCTCAGTTATCTCGGTTGCCATGGAAGATATCAAAAATTGTTAAATTGATAAAATGTCGGTTATATTATGATAAACATTTTATCAGTTGAAGACTTTCTGACATCTTTCAAAAGAAACGAGATAGCTGAGCTCAAAGTAAAATATGAGTTAAAATTATGTAATTTGACTTCCAGATACTTCGAAAACGCTATCGAAGAGCATGGCGAAGAATCAAAGGATTTGGAAGCGCTAGCTGGTCAGAAAAACATTCACATCGTGATTGGAGTTGTAGAACGGGAAGCAGGTACTTTGTATTGCTCAGTTTTCTTTTATTCGCCTGACGGATACCTTGGAAAGCATCGAAAACTGTTGCCAACGGCACTGGAAAGATGTGTATGGGGCCAGGGGGATGGGTCGACGATGCCGGTGTTTGATACGAAGGTTGGAAAGCTCGGAAGTGCGATTTGTTGGGAGAATTATATGCCCCTTTATAGAATGTCGCTGTATAATAAGGGTGAGTCCCAGTCGTTCATTTCACTTGCTATAATCCTATTTTTCCAGAAATTCAAATCTATCTGGCTCCAACTGTGGATGATCGGGATGTCTGGCTATCAACGATAGGACCATAGCGTTGGAAGGGAGATGCTTCGTAGTCTCCGCTTGTCAATTCCTCAAAAGCTCCGCCTATCCATCAGATCACGTTCTCCGTAAAGAACACGGAGACGATACTATTCTAATCCGTGGAGGATCTTGCGCAGTTGACCCACTTGGAGCCGTTCTAGTTGAACCAGATTTTACACAAGAAACCATTCGATATGCAGAATTTGATTTATCCGATATTGCTCTTGGAAAAATGGATTTGGATGTTGTTGGACATTACAGTAGACCTGATGTCTTTCAACTTACTGTGAATGAGAAACCAATGAGTACAGTAACCCGGAATTGAAGAAAACAGTTTTTTGAGTTTTTATTGTGTAAAAAAGTTTTGTATAATAAAATGATTTTTGTAATTCTTGTCCGAGAATTTTCGAGAATTTTTTAAAAGGGCATTGTCGGTCCTGAAGCGAAAACAGCGAAATATTTTGAATATTGTCGAATTAAAAAAAGTGTGACCTGGAAAATTTCGCGGGCGGCTTCCCGGTCAATTTTCGAGGCCTTGCCCCAGAAACACTACGGTAGTAAACGAAACTTATTTCTGTGAATTTAGTGTGATTTTCTGAACAAAATTTAGATTTCTTGGTAGGAAAATGATCGCTAGCATCTTTCGAATCTGTTTTTCATCGGAAAACCGAACTTAATTGCGAAAGTAGCTCGAACGAGGCGAAAATCTGAAATATTACGTTTTTGCCGCACTTTTTCGTAGATCAAAAAAAGCTACGCCTTTCAAATTTTCAGGTCCCACTTTTTTTAATTCGACAATAAATGCATGCACCTTCAATACAGTGTCTCACAATTAATTATTTTAGCTGTTTTTCGGTTCAATTGAAGATTCATGAAAACCCAGCGAAGATTAGGGAAAAATTGCGAGAAATTGAGAGAAAAAAGCAAAAATACAAAGATTTCGAGGTACGGTATCAAAGGCGTATGCGTTTATACAAAAAACTTCCGCTATTTTATAGCGCTAAAAACACATATTTGAGCGGCCGACGTTTCCCCGGCGTTGGCGCGCGATTGGAGCGCACTTGCATACCTTTCTTTATCGCGATTTCGTCGTTTTTATTGAATTTTAGAGGTTTTCAGGCACAAATTCAAATAAAAATTAAAATTTCCAGGCCTAAAAAATGCCAGAAGAAGGATTCTACAGTTTTTCAAGCCAATCGTCACGAGAATTGACAGAAGAGGACAACGAGAAACTTTCCAAGCAGGTACCCTCCTTTTTTCGAGTTTTAGAGCTGAAAATCATTTATTTACAGACAGTTATCAGCGATTTCAAAAAGAACAAGCTGGAAATCGAGGCGAGGAAAAATTGGGACAAATTCTATAATCGAAATAAAAACAATTTCTTCAAAGATCGAAATTGGAGTGCGGAGGATCTGAAAATCATTTGTCCGGATATAGATTTCGAGAAAGAACTCCTATATCTCGAGGCAGGTTGTGGTGTCGGAAACATGCTTTTTCCACTGGTCGCCGAGATTCCAAAACTGAAATTATTCGCGTTCGATTTCTCAGCCAACGCTGTGAGAATGTTGGAAGAACGAGCAAAAGAGCTGGAGCTCCCGGTGGCAACCGCAGTCGTTGATTTGTCAATTCCTTCGAACTCATCGCCATTTGACGAGCAAGTCGATCTAGCCACGTTGATTTTCGTTATGTCAGCTATTCATCCGGACAAAATGAAGATTGCGGCGGAGAATATGAGGAATTTAGTGAAGGTGGGCCAATTTCTTGTCGAAAAATTCAGCCAGATTCTAAATTTTCAAAACGTCGACTGCTACTTCTTCCAGATCGGCGGCTCAGTCGTTGTACGTGACTACGGAATCAACGATCACGCGATGATTCGATTCGGGCGAGAAGCACGAATCGCTGATAGATTCTACGTTAGACAAGATGGCACGCGAGCCTATTACTTTGATTTGGACGAACTTTGCGGATTTTTCGAGGCTTCTGGATTCAAATGCGAACGGAAGGAGTACCTCCATCGAATTACTATCAATCATCAGAAGAATTTAAAGGCGCCCCGGATTTTTGTGCAAGCTCGATTTGTTAGAATTGATTGATTATTTTTTGTAATTTTGTTGTTGTTGAAATTTCTATTGTTACATTGAAAATATTAAAAATATTTATTTGCACGAATAATGCACCCCATCAAGTTCTCTCAACGTCGCCGCCGCCACTTCTGGAGAGATATCCCTTTGTTTCTCAGCGAAAACCTCATATCCAGCGAGGAATTTCGGTACTGTTGCAGAGCGAAGAAGTGGAGGAAAGAAAGACAAATGGAGCTGCCAAAATGAGCAGTCAGTTTTCAAATAGGTCCCAGTTGGTGCTCCCGACCATCCCATCATATAGGGGAAGGAGCATTGGAAGATGTTGTCGTACTTGATAAGCAGGTCACGTAGAATTGCGGAGAGTGATTGTTTTTCAGCCTGGAATGGTTTGAAAAGTTATTGTCAATAGAGCGCATTACACACAGCTGTGTTCGAACTTCTACGGTATGCTTTTGCGCTTTAATGAGTAAGTGCTGTAGCGATGTTTACGGTCTAAGAAAAATCTATTTTTATGTCGAAAATCAATTCAAAATTGATAGAAATTTGAATTTTTAGCGATTTAAATTTTCGCCACGTCACATCTCTGGTAATCGTTTTCCAACCAGATTCGGGAAAATTCCGGAGCAGAAATGGCTAGATCTGGTTAGAAAATTGTCCGAATCAGGTTGGGAAATTAGCTTTCTCGGTCGGATCTGGTCAGAAAATAAAAACTTTCCGAATCTAGTTGGAATTTTACTCGAATCTGGTTGGAAAATTGCCAGAAACTGGTTAGAAACCGATTACCAGAGTTCCTCAACAAAGCGCAATAGCATATCACGGCAGTTAGAACACTGTGATTACAGGACATCGCGGAAGGGAACCTGGATTCGAATTTCCGCAGTCAGCCAAGTTCGGCGTAGCGGTCAACGCTTTAGTTTTCAGAAAAAACGTTCGAAAAATTTGAAAACTGAAAAGTATCCAAATTTTTAGAGAAGTACAACGAAGCGCACTTTCTATAGGTCTCCGTTCGCGATGCTCTGTTGCCAGTAGAGCGCATTCCTAACCTCCATCAAATCAGTGAACCTTGCCACGTGGCGATTCGGAAGAAGCATCGTCTCAAATGGCCAAAACGCCCAATAAGGCACCAGCCATGTCCAATGCTCATTTCTCATAATTATCCGCTCTTTTTTCGTTATTTCTTGATCCAAATAATCTACCAACATTACTTTACCATGCTTCTCGAAGTACTTCTGGAAATGTAATTCTCGTTAGAGCGCGTTTTGCAAAATTCTCACTAGAGCGTACTTTCTGACTATCGTGCTTTTTCTGTGGAATACTCGGAAGATAATTCGACGCCCATAACTGTCCATGCGGGTGCATATTCGAGCAGCCAACCACGGCTCCTCGATTTTCGAATATTTGAACCCAATCGTATTTTGGACATAGTTCTACGTATTGCTGGTGCCAGAGGTTGATAACAGTGCGGATCTGTTAAACGCGCTCTAATGAACTGAAACTTCAAAAGAGCTTCGTTACCTCTTCTAAACTCATCTGTGCCAACGTCTTCTGACTATCGGGGTGATAACAAATCACTCGGCAAACTCCTCGCACTTCTTGCTGCTTGAATAAATCGGAATTTTCTGGAAAAAAATTTGAAAAATTGGATTTTTGAATTTTCGAATTTTCTGAAAAAAAACTGAAAAAGCACGAAAATCAAGAAAAAAATTCAAAAAATAACAATATTTCTAGGCTACTGTAGTTTTCGTGGTAGGACCATTATACCTTCTTTGCCAGCGCATCCATCGAATTCTGTAAACGACGGAAAATCATTTTCAAACACAAAAGTGCTCAAATAATCCTCGTTTTTCGCTCCAGAAGACCTGACGCCTCCTGGAGCCAGCGGGTTGGTGGTGATAGAAGACGTCACGTCGTCTGGATTCTTCTCGGAACTTCCAGATTTTTCAGTCTTGGCACCTTGCCAAGGCCGATTTATCCGATTCACCGCTACTATAATCCACTCATCGATAAGGGGGTTGTACCTCCGGAAATTGTTTATTTTCGACATTTTTTACTGGAAATTATTGATTTTTCAAAAAGAATTTTTCAGAAAAGAGAATAAAAATCGTTGAATTCGAAGCCCCTATACAATGTAAAACATAACTTATTAAATTTATTAAAACTGTGAACTGTATACTACTATTCAAATTCAAGTGACGGGGATTTGCATAATGCAAATCCACTAGAGAATTTTGAATATTTTGAAAGATCGGGAATTTTTTTGAGAGAAGAGAGAAGAGAAAGAATTGATTGTTGATGATGGGTGGATGAAAAGATAATCAAGTTTGAAAAAAAGAATTGAGCTTGTGGCAAAAAATTTGGTACGAAGGGAATGATAATAAATAAATATATAGAGGTGCTTTAAATTAAACAAAAAAAGAACATAAATCAATAAATTATTTCACTTTCATCTGCTTCATCTTCGGCTGCTTCGCCTTTGCCTCCTTCTTCAGCTCCTTGGCTTCCAGTCGTCGTTGTCTCTCCGGATCGTGCTCGTCCATCAGCTTCTGCTTCCTCTCGCGTGTCTTCTCCTCTTTTCTAGCCTGTGCTGCTTCTTGACGGAAGGCGTGCGTCTGCTTCAAGAAAGCCTCCTCGAACTCCTTTCTCTTCCGTTCAGCCTTCTGCTTGGCATCCTTACTCAACTTCATCTTCTTCACCCGATCGATCAAATAGAATACCAAGTTCAGAATCTCAGCGGCAGACTCCTCATCCTGACCCAGCTTCGCAAGATTCAACGACATGAACATGTATCGTTGTGGCTCTGGAAGTCGTGTATAGCTCTCTCCCTCGGCTGGCTTTGGTCCTGTGTATTGATCGGAGATGTGAATGAATTCGATTGCCTCCTCGTGTTTCCTCAACAATGAAACAACTCCTGGCTCGAGAATCGAGTAGACCACCTCATTCTGATCCGCGTAGAGTTGCCACGTGGCTGGTAGATTGAGCTGCTGAGCGACTTGCTTCTTCTCGGAAACGTAGCTATTCAAATCGAACATTTCTCGGAAGTTCTTCGTCGCGATTTTCTTCTCTCCAACGGCGAAAATCAGCGGATCCACGTCGTTTCCACCTTCGAGACTGACTTTGATGGTCATCTTGTCGGATGAAGGGTCATAGATGTCTAAGACTCGGGAGACCAGGTCTTGGCGCTTGATGGTTTTCATCTGGAATGATTTGGATGTTATATGGGAAGGAATGGCTTGAAAAATTAAGAAATTACCTGCAAGAAGAGGGAATGAACATTGACACGCCCTGAGCACCAAGCGGAAAACGACGAGTCGGTGTCTCTCTTCAAAGTTGGCTCGAGCTTATCCAAATCGGTCACTCCGTCATCTCCAACGACTGCGAATTGCTCCTCAAGAGTCGGGCGACACATCTCGAAAACTGTGTGAGCAATGGAGGAATTTGTAGTCTTTCCGATAATATAATTGATGAGATAAATGAAAATAATGAGCACAACGATTCCCTCGACTTGGTACGATGCCCAGTTTGAACGGAAATGGGCGGGGACATCGGTGAATTTCAAGGATTGCACTGGCGTTGGCTCATCTGGATCTACTTCTTTGATTTTTTCAGAGTCATCAGATTCATCCTCATCGACAACACCAAAATCATCGTCTTCAAAATCGTCTTTCTGAAATAAAAAATCGTCAAAATAAGACGAAAATTCTAGAATCCTACCTGAACAATGGGCGGCACGGATTTCCGATCTTCTTGCTTTGCATCTGGCGCGTTCGTCACCACGACGCTATCTGCAAACTCATCTTCCTCAAACTCGGCAAACTCGTTGTCGTCCGAAGCAGCGCCGGCGCTGAACCCGCTAGAGCAGAATAAAATAATGGCTAAAAAGCCGAAAATCCTTGTGATTTTCATGATTAAAGAGGTTGAAAAGACCCGAAATTGAGTGTTCTAGCTGAAATAATATTTTTTTTGAGTGTGAAAATCGAACAATTCGCGAGAAAAAGAGCCGAAAAGATGACGAGAACTGCAAAAATAAACGGTTTTCTCGAGGGAACGCCCCTTTTTGCAAGCGGCGCGCGCGGTTTTGGCAAGGGTGCCGCATGGAGATGGGGTTTTCTGGGATTAGTTCGTTTTGAGGTTGTTGGAATATTTTCTAAGAGAAACTCAATTAATAAGGGTTTTTCCATCCGAAAGTAGTTGAAATAAAACACACAATTACATACAAACCCCTAAAGTTGTCTTAGATCCCATAAAAACCAGAAATTCGCCCGATAAAAGAGGTGAAAGTTATGATAGATTAGGCAATAAAACGCAAGTGATTTCGGAGGATGATTGCGTTTTTTTGTAAAAGGAATCGATTTATTTGAAGTTCTTTGAGTTGATAATGATTAAATTAGGTCCTTTTTTTCTATTTATTCTAGAATTCCTTCTAGAAAATGTTCCTTTATTTTCCCACCGCCCTTCTCTCTTTTCCCATCAAAAATGTGTATGGTTGAGTGATGATAAGTCTCTGGGGAATTTTCGAAATATCTCTCTTTCATAACTGGCCGCCGACATCCCCTTTGAATACTTTTAGTTGAGTTTTTTAGTTCGAAGTTTCTTTCTTCAATCTTCAAAATACTATTTTATTTAGCTACAGTAATCCATTTCAAATTCAGAGAGACGCAGAGAAGCTAGAGTGCTTTAGCTTCTCTGGGAACTTTAAAGTCGCATAGCTCTAAAACTGTAAGAGCTAGACAAAAGTTGTGAATTACGAAAATGTGTAAAATTGAATTTCACACATTTTTCTAGTCGCTAACTTTTTTTTCTAGCTTTTCCAGTTTTTGAGATAATTTCGAATTTCATGAAAGTACCGAAAATGAAAAACTGAGAAATTCCAGTTTTGGTGGGATTTCAAAAGGAAATTTTTGAGACCCTTCTAGAAGTTTCCGGAAATGTTCTATTTTCGATGCGAAAATTTGAGGTTTCGCTTTGGAAAAATCTTTTGTGAAAAAGTCGCCCTTTAAATCGCTGTATTAGCTCTAAATGACGTCCTACCTATATGAGCATTTTGAGCTCAATTATCTCAGTTCCCATGAAAGATATCAAAAATCTGTCAACTGATGAAATATTTATCATTATATCACCAATATTTTATCAGTCGACAGATTTTTTTGATATTTTTTATAGGAACCGAGATAATTGAGCTGAAAAAGCACGTATAGGGTGGGTTGCTATTAGAGCGGATACGGCAATTTTCCAAGATTACGTAACCTAGAAAAATGAAGCGGTCACTCTCATCAATCTCAATAGCCTCCCAAACTATCCTCTTCTTAATCTCAATCTCTCTCTCTCTCTCTCTCTCTCTCTCTCTCTCTCTCTCTCTCTCTCTCTCTCTCTCTCTCTCACTTTCTGTCCGTTCGCGTCGCTCGCTTCCCCCCTAACAAAAGTACCCAACAGTGACCCTGTTGTCTGCGCCTCCACTGATTCCACACTATTTCCTCTGTCTTTTCTGCCATTAAACACACACAAGGGCAGTTGTGCAGCAGAGAGAGGGTACTAGTATATGTATGCACCAGATGTCCCGTTTTCCCAATTCCTCCTTATTTTTCGATTCTAAGTTTTTAGAAGAAGATTTTTCGAAATTTCAAGGTTTAATTAAAAAAGATTGTTATCGATTTGATGGATTGCGGAATTTCGGAGGCGGTGACCGGAATCATGACTCACTTTGCTTTTTACTTTTATTTTTAGATAGTTTTGAAATTGAAAATTGCTATTTTCCAAAGTTTTCCGTGTGAATCGAATTTCGATTTTTTTGAAAATTCCAAAAATTATTAATTTGAAATTTTCTAATGAAACCAAAAATCTTGGAAATTATCTAGTTAGCTGATTTTTTTTCCATTTTTTTTCTCAAAATTCAATTAGATTTCATTAACTTTTTAGATTTTCATATTTAACTCTTTTAGAATAATTCCTTGTACGTTGATTTTTTTTCAGCCGCATCCGGCGCCTAATTTTTTCTGCCCTGCGGTATCTCAATTTTGAGCTCAATTATCTCGGTTCCTGTATAATATAGCAAAACTTTGTCAACTGATAAAATGTAATATGACTAAAATTTTATCAGTTGACTAAATTTTGATATCTTTTACAGGAAACGAGATAATTGAGCTCAAAGTTCCTACAAATATATTATGTGCCACAAAGTGGTCTCTTAACTTTGAACTTAATTGTCTTGGTTGCTATAAGAGATATCAAACATTTGTAAACCGATAAAATGCTTATCATAATATCACCAACATTTTGTTAATTGACCACTTTATGATATCTCCTACTATGACCAAGATAAAGGAGCTTAAAGTTATCATCTTGATTTCGTAATTTTGAACGACTATGATCCTTCTTCTGAATCCTTCCATTTCGCAATTCCCTTCTCATCGGTCTCTGATGTCTCCAGAGCATCTTCTCACTCTTTTTACTCTTTCTGTTTCTTTCAAGACACTGGCAGGTGTAACCTTCTTTCTCTCTTCCTTTTTACACTGGTCCCAGCAAGAGCAGCACTCTGTCCCAACGATCGCCTACACTATCTATCTCGTTCCTTGAGAGAGAGAGAGAAAGAGAGAGAGAGAGAGAAAGAGAGAGAGAGAGAGAGAGAGAGAGAGAGAGAGATGTGCCAGCAGAGGCAGCCAGTTGATCCCGTCGGGAGAGAGCACTTGGCAGATCCGCCCACGTTCTTGACTGCTGGGTACCACGGTTAGAGGAGGATCCCCGAGTTGTTCCTTTTATCGATTTTTTTTTATTTGCATATAGTGACGTTCTCTATCTATATGCGCTTTGAAACTAGTTGTTCTGCAATTTGTCGAACAAAATTTTAATTCTGCTGGAAAATAGCTACGAAATTTGTACGGATTTTCCAGAACCTAACCTTTGTCTAGAATAAAAACTTTGTCCCAGAAAACACTAATTCTGTCAGCTTTCTAGTTTTCTTCATAATTTATAACCTATGAATTTCAAATTTAGCCACTTCTTTCCAGCCTTTTCTAACATGTATGACTAACTCTTCTTCTTCTTTCTTTTTTACACTTTTAGATCAATTTTGAGCGAATGTTTTTTTCTTTCTCACGGTGTGTTCATTGACACCTCACCTCCTAAATAAACAGAAGAACAAGAACAGTTATTAGAGAAATAGACACCTACATAGACATTTGTATGGCCTAGTTTTGATGTGTAGGAAAAAAAGTTCTGAACCTTGTGATCCTTGAAATCTTGTATTTTATAAATCCCAGATTCGAGTTTTCCGGTTTTCAGTCTTTGAAAATTTCTACAGTAGCCGCCAATACATATTTTACGAATTTTGACTTTTTCCAGTGGAAAATAGTCAACTTTAGAGCCTTTGGAAAAGTAGTTCAGACTATTTCTATTTGTCTGAAAATTTTAGAGTATGCTAAACTAAGATAGAGCTTCAATTTTGCAGTTGACAACTTTTTGATACAAATTCAGCCGAACGAGAAAAGCGGTTTTAAAGTGCCACAACGCAGATTTAGGCACTTTTTCGGTTTCAAACGGCATATCTCATCAGAATGAAACTTGACAAAAAAGTTGCCAAATACAAAAATGAAGCTCTAATTTTGTTGAACATAATCTGAAATTTTCAGCCAAATTGGAAAATTTTTAGCTACTTTTTTAGGATACCTAAGTTGACAGTTTACACTGAAAAAGTCGAAACACTATGTATTTTTTGTCCGGCACTATTTCTTCACCTCGATTTATGTATAAACTATTTGAAGAATTCTGAAAAAAATTGACTTCAATTTAATTTTTTTTAGTTGACCACTTTTTGATAGCACTCACAGGAAGCTAGATAAATTAGGTCAAGTTTAGGATCTCCTTGTTTCTATATTTTTCCTGAAACTTCAGAAGTTTTGATTCTTAAAATTTTTGTAACTTTTGAATTTTATAATTCTTTGATAACTCGTTTTTCTTATCAATTTTTTTCTAATTTTAAAAGTTTTCAGGGCATAAACAACCTATTCCATCTGGGGCATATTTCAAAAGTATGCCACCATCAAGACCTCTGCTGCTTTTAGCAGCTCTCCTAATCCCTCTGGCACTAACGGCAAATGACTGGAAAACCGGAGAAGTGACAGGAAAAGTTGTCGAAAAATCCGACTTCCCATGCTACAGCCTGTCCAGAGATAACTACACATGTTCGGCTTGTATCCAGTTCCACGAGTCGTGTGCGTGGTGTGGAGCGCCGGTGAGTCTTAAGGAATTTGAATTATCTGGGTTTCTAGAAGAGATTTTGAAATTCTGTCAATTGAGAAAATGTTGATTATGTTATGACAATCATTTTATCAGTTGACATATTTTAAATAACTCTTAAAGAAACCGAGATAATTGAACTGAAAGTGGGGGTACGGGCGGGGCTGAGCGGCGGCTGCTGAAAAACGGTTTGAAGCACCAGATATTATTATATAGTGACATAAATCAAATTCAAGATTTATTGATTATTTTTCAGATGTTCGATGAAAAGAAGCCATATGCCAGATGTGACAGCCGTGCTAAGCTAATGGAACATGGTTGCCCAGACAGCTACATCGAGGATCCAACTACCAAATTGGACGTCACAGAAGACAGTAAGCTTTCCGATCAAGGAGAAGTTGAATCTGAAGAGGAAGCGGTTCAAATCAAGCCACAGCAAATGTATGTGGAGATTCGACCAAGTGAGTGAAATAATCTTTTTGAAAGATTGCTGATACAAGTCCAGACATTTTTTTCTTCAGAATCCCGAGTTCGCTTCAATGTCACCTATCGCCAAGCTGTTGACTATCCAGTGGATCTCTACTATCTTATGGACTTGTCTTATTCTATGAAGGATGATAAGCAAAAGCTCTCTGAGTTGGGAGATCTTTTGGCAGAAAGAATGAGAACTGTCACCAAAAACTTCCGTCTTGGCTTTGGATCTTTCATTGATAAGAAGCTTATGCCATTCATTGACCCAAGAATCGAGAAACAGTTGTCCCCATGCCCAACTCCATGTGCTGAGCCATACGGATTCAAACATCAAATGTCGTTGACTACCAACACCGCCAAGTTTAAGGCTGAGGTTGAGAAAGCTGAAATTTCTGGAAACTTGGATGCTCCAGAAGGAGGTTTCGATGCAGTTGTGCAGGCTTTGGCGTGTAATGTGAGTTTTCGAAATACTTGGCTTTGAAAATGTGAAATTTTGGGCTTGAAGATCTCATAAAACCGGATAAAAACTTAGCATAAAACCTGAGCTCATAAAACCGGTAAAAATTTCTGTGAGAGGTATCAAAAAGTTGTCAACTAACAAAATGTTTTTGATGTTATGGAGAGCATTTTGTTAAATGAACGTTTTATGATAGCATTCCCAAAAATTGAGATAATTAGGCTTAAACGAACGGAGTGTTTTTATATAACGGACTCCGCCGCACTCCAAGAGAGATGCAGAGAAGTCAGAGCATAGAAGGCTCCCGTTAACTTTGTCAACTAATAAAATATTTATTTTGTTATGATCAACATTTTGTTAGTTGACTACTTTTTTATATCTATCATAGGAAGCGAGAAAAATTGACTCAAAGCTAAAAGGCCCTTATAGTACAGATTTAGGGTATTCATTTGTCTTACTTACTATTAGTTTTTCTAGGAGGTAAGGTCATTTTTAAACTTTCAGCTGTAGAAGAACCTGAATAAAACTTAAAACATATTCATTTTTTAGAAAACCATTGGATGGCGTGAACGCGCTCGTAAAATGATCGTCTTCTCCACCGACGCCGGATTCCATTTCGCCGGAGACGGTCGCCTGGCTGGAGTCGTCGAGCCAAACGATGGATCATGCCATTTGGATCGTGAAGGATACTACACGGAAACCCTCAACCAGGACTACCCCTCCATCGCTCTTCTCCATCAGATGATCAAGGATCGCAAAGCCAATGTCATCTTCGCTGTCACCAAAAACAATCAAGATCTCTATACCCAACTTTCGAATGCTCTTCCAGACGTTTCCTCGTCGGTTGGAGTTTTGGCGAATGATTCTAGAAATATTGTGGACTTGATTGAGAAGGAGTATTTGAAGATCAGTGAGAAGATTATTATGGTCGATAATGCCAATGCGTCAGAGGGATTGAAGCTGACCTATAGATCAATGTGCTTGGAGTAAGTTCTTATTTGAAATTTTGGAAAAAGGAGAGGTAGCTGAAAAATAACCTCTAACAATTTCCTATAGTTTAAAGGTGGGGGGACATGAAAAAAATAATGTTCTCGAAATTCCGTTCAAAAATGCCCCTCGAGGAGTTGAACTTGTGAGGGCGATGATTGAGGGTGCGGCGCCGCTACCGACTGAGCTACGCGGGCAAAGAGAAAGCGAACGCCCGATTGCATACATAAAGGCGAGGACGACAGCTGTACGCAGAGTGACATTAAGCGTTGTACACCGTGACGGTAGAATGCATACTCTAGCTACAAAAAAACTACGAAAAATCTCCTGTCCCCCCACCTTTAAAGTGCAAGATTAAAGTAGGAATTGCCATAAAACCAGGAAAAAATAATCCTAACTTTGAGTCAAATTATCTCGGTTCCTATAAAAGATATCAAAAATCTGTCAACTAACAAAATTTTCAAAATAATATAAGGAATATTTTGTCAATTGCTCTTTTTTGATAGCTCTGATATCCGCCGAGATAAATTTAGTCAAAGTACGTGGAAAGGTTTCTCCTGTAAGAGATATCAAAAAATGTTTAATGGACAAAAAATGTTTTATATTATGATAAACATTTCATCAGTGGACTGCTTTTTCATATCTTTCATAGGAACCGAGATAATTAAGGTTAAACTTGATGATTAGGTACATGCGCGGGGAGGGGGCACGATGCCCCCTTATGCTCTCGGGTCGTCAGCTTTGAGCTTAATTATCTTGGTTTCTGTAAGAGATATCAAAAAATTGCTAACTAACGAAATGTTTACCATAATATCAAAAATATTTTGTTAATTACTCATTTTTTGATTCCCTTAACAGGCTCCGAAATATTTTGGGTTGAACCTGACTTGTCTCTTAGGGTTACGTCGAGGCCCCCTTATAGACCAGCAACTTTGAGCTTAAATATCTAAGTTTCTGTAAAATGTCTCAAAAAAATAATCAACTAACAAAATATTTGCCATATTATGGTGAACAACTTGTTAGTTGATCACTTTTTGCTAGCTTTCACAGAAGACGAGAAAAATTGGTTTAAAATTAGGGAGCCCTTTTCTGTCAGTTTTTAGGGTTTAAAGTGTTTTCGAGTATTCTTGTTGAGAACCACAATATTGCATTTTTAAAGCTTACATACTGACAAACTCAATCATATAATTTTTCCAGCGGAACAACACTCAAGGACACCAACGTCTGTGAGGGAATCCGTGTCGGAGATGAGGTTCAATTCGAAGTAACCCTTGAAAACACCCACTGTATCGATAAAAGAGATTTCGTTCTCCGCATCGGACCATCCGGATTAGATGAGACACTTATTGTGAACGTCAAGGTTCTCTGTGATTGTGATTGCGAACGTCAAGACAGAATTGTGACCAACGCCGCAGAGTGTCATGGTGGAGATATGGTTTGTGGAGTTTGTCGATGCAAGGGAGGAAATGTTGGAAAATATTGTGAATGTAACAGACCTGGAATGTCGACAGCAGCATTGAACGAGAAGTGTAAAAGGTAAATTCCGTAATCTGGAGAATTTGCTTATCAAAAATTTTCAGAACCAACGAGTCAGCCATCTGTGAGGGACGAGGAGTCTGCAACTGTGGAAGATGCGAGTGCAATCCACGTGCCAATCCAGAAGAGCAAATCTCTGGAGAGTTCTGTGAATGCGACAACTTCAATTGCCCAAGACACGACCGTAAAATCTGCGCTGAGCATGGAGAGTGCAACTGTGGAAAGTGCATTTGCGCACCGGGATGGACTGGAAGAGCATGCGAATGCCCAATCTCTACTGATTCCTGTCTCTCGGCAAACGGAAAGATTTGTAATGGAAAAGGAGAATGCATCTGTGGAAGATGTAGATGTTTCGATTCGCCAGATGGAAATCGGTATTCTGGAGCCAAGTGTGAAATTTGCCCAACTTGTCCAACAAAGTGTGTGGAGTATAAGAATTGTGTGATGTGTCAACAATGGCAAACTGGACCACATAATGAGACTGAATGTGATAAGTGCGAATTCAAGGCGATTCCAGTGGATGAGCTGCCAAGTGAGTTGTTTCTGGAGCTGAGCCTTTAAAAAATAGAAAGAAACACTGTCAGAAATATTTCTAAAGGTGGGAGACATGAAAAAATAAACGATTTTCTCAAAAATTCGTTCTTATGAAGTACCGTGCCGCTGAGCTACGGTGACGCCAGCAGTACCGACGTGCCGCTTCGACAGAAAATAACTTCTCCAAACATCAATTTATCAAAAAGTTGTCAAATAGAAAAATGAAGCACATAAGATTGTGCACATTTTGTTAGTTGACAAAATTTTGATAGAAAAATTTGTTCGCGAGATGTTAGGATTTAAAAATTTCGGTTGAAAATGGAAATTTTCGTTCGAAAAAACAGTGTCTCCAACTTTGAGTCAGTTTATCTTGTCAAAAAGCTGTCAACTGATAAAATGTTTATCATAATATCACAAATATTTTCTTAGTTAGAAACTTTTTGATATCTCTTACGAAAATCGGGATAACTAGGTTCAAAGTTGGAAACCCTCTTATTGGAGATGTAATGGAAATTTCCAAACCATTTAAGTTGATATTTTATGACGTAATCAAAGTAGGGGAGTGGGGAGATTTTTTAAAGTTATTTAGAGTTACAGTATGCCTTTTTACGGTGTATAACTTGTGCCACCGTAACTCAGCTGGTAGCGGCGCGGCACCTCCAACGGTGAGCCCACAAGTTCAACTCCTCGAGGGGCTCTCAAAGTTAATTTTGAGCGATAGTTAAAAATTATATTGGGTTTCAAGCTTCTATAAATTAAATTTCAAACATTTCTCATTTCCAGCACTCAACGAAACGACACCTTGCCAATTCGTGGATCCAGCCGACGATTGCACATTCTACTACCTCTACTACTACGATGAAGCCACTGACAACGCGACGGTCTGGGTCAGAAGACACAAGGATTGTCCACCACCAGTCCCAGTCCTCGCCATCGTGTTGGGAGTCATTGCTGGAATCGTTATCCTCGGAATTTTGCTCCTTCTGCTCTGGAAACTTCTTACAGTACTCCACGACAGAGCAGAGTACGCCAAGTTCAATAACGAAAGGCTTATGGCTAAATGGGATACGGTAATATATAACGGAAGTATATTTAGAAATAGAATTATAACTTTCAGAACGAGAATCCAATCTACAAACAAGCCACGACAACATTCAAGAATCCAGTTTATGCTGGAAAAGCTAATTGACCAATTAACTAATTAGAAAAATTATGCTCATCACCACATCTGCCTGCTCGAAACGAGTAAAATAACAATACTTTTCATTCTCAAAATCTCTTTTTTTTTGTATTTTTCAATTTTTTATGACCAACCCCAATTTTTCAAAAATTACGGATTCCTTCTCTTTTTTTGTATAATTAGCCCTCCTCTTATATGCTTTATTATTTCGTCTACCTTCTCATTTCTTTGCCTTTTTGACCAACTTGTACTATTCTCTCATTTGGTGCTTTTATGGATCTTTTCTTGTTTTGTTTTTTAACATAAAAATCCTAAAAATTCAATTTTTCGTATTTTTTAGATCGCAAGAAGTTTAGAGGAGCTGTAAAAACCTGAAAAATCTGAAATTTTGAAATTCTTTCTTCAAAAATCTGGAATTGAAAGATCCTAAAACTGCCTATTCCAAAAACCTGAAATTCAAAAAATCTGAAATTTCGAAAAAAATTTCTTAAAAATTGAGAGTTTTGTTTTTAGGCTGACGGAAGTTGTAATTCTTATGTGCAGCTATAATTCCAAAACTGGGTCATTTCAGTTCCAAAAATTCAAATTCCCCTCACGTCTCCTTAATTTTCCACGTGACCTTTTATCCTCAAAACCTAAAAATCCCTAATACGTGGCACATAAAAGTTCCTTATCTTTTATCAGATCTAATGCTATAAATATCTTAGAAAATCAGTCAGTTTTATGAGCAAGCAATCTCTTTGAAAATCGGAACAGTTCAGTTCGCAAGAGAGTAAAAAATGGAAATGACTACGTTGACTAGTTTACCATATTTCCATGGAACTATTGATACGTACGTTTGTAGTCTTTGTAGTCTTTGTAGTCTTTGTATTTTGTAGTGTGTAGTTTCTGGTCATTATGTTTTCCATTTTGCAGACGAGAGTGTCGAGAAATGCTTCCGGACCTTGGAGACTTTCTAATCCGAAATCCCACAAACGAAATGGTCAAATCCGGTGGCACAAGAACTTTCGCATGTATTCTGACAACAGCCGTCACGCCGGATCAAGCATCAGAAAATTCCAAAATGCTACCAAAGGATTATTCGTTGAGAGTGAGTTTTTGACCTCAATTATCTTGGTTACTGTAGGAGATATCAAAAAGTTGTCAACCAATAAAACGTTGGTGATAATGTGATTAACATTTTGTTAATGATTGGCTATTTTATATCTTTCCCAGAAAGCGAAATAAGTTTGATCAAAGTTGGAGACACTTTTTCTTTCAATTTCTGGGTTTTCAATTGTGTAAATCCTTCTATCTCGAAACCAAATTTTTAATCAAGCTTTTGCAAAGTACAAAAATGTTTATTAAGTCTTGTTCTTTATTTTTTGTTGACGATTCTTTGATGCAAAGCTGTTTGGAGGAGTAATGTCGCTACAAAACTCCTCCTCCTCTGACCCTCCGCTCGCTATCCGTATCCCTGCACTTTGACCTCAATTATCTCGATTTTTGTAAAAGAAAAAATTTTGACAATTGATAAATGTTAATCATACTATCACTAACATTTTATCAATTGACAGGTTTTCGATACCTCTCCTACGAATCGAGATAATTACTGTCAAAGTAAAGTACCTTTTCTAGGAACTAGGTTTTCTCGCTATCCTTATACTTTAACTTTGAACTCAATTATCTCGGTTTCTATCAAAGATAGCAGAAAACTATAAACTAATAAAACATTCAAAAATCTCAATTCCAGCTCGAATGCACAACTCGTCTAAAATCCTACGGTATCATATTGGAAAATGGTGTCTACTCGTTGCTAGGAACCCCAGAAACTTATCAGTCAGTTGAGGAACTTTGCAATGCGTACACCTCATCCCGTAAAGCCTTCCCTCAAGGTGGAATGGCTTTGAGACCAGTGGCCCGTCGACCGTGGCAACTTCTTTTATCGGACATTGAGTTTCCAGTGCCAGAAGTCGTGTTGGGAAGTGGAGAATTTGGAAAAGTTATTAGAGGAAAACTATTGAGACATGGAGTTCCGCCGATTGATGTGGCACTCAAGCGCGCTACAGCTGAGAATCATGCCGAGATTGTGAGTTCTCATTTACTCTTTGGGAACTAAACAATTTGATTTTTTTGAATTTCAGATCTCGGAAATGTTCACAGAAGCACGTGCAATGCGTGCTCTCATGCACCCCAACATCATCCGCTTTGAAGGCGTCGTCGTTGAGAAGCTCCCTCTCTACCTGGTCATTGAATTCTTGGAGGGGAGCAGTCTTCTAGATGCACTTCGCAAGAAAAAAGTCAACAATGTTTATCGTTTCCCAATTTGTATGGCAGTGCTCTATGCAGTGCTCTGGATGCACATGCACAACTATATCCATAGGGACATTGCCGCGCGGAATGTAATGATTTCTCACGATTGCCGAACTGTTAAACTGATTGATTTTGGATTGGCCAAACATGGACTACAGTTTACACTGGATGTAGCCACCAAGATCCCACTCAAACGGCTTGCTCCAGAAGTCCAAAAGACCAAAATCTTCTCTGCAAAATCTGATACATGGGCGCTGGCAATTTGCTTTTGGGAGATTTATCACGATGGAGCCCCAATTTACTCAAATGTGGTTCCATCTCTAGATTCTAAACCACCGGCTGTTCCATCTCCAACACCATCAGCTACTCCAACGACACCGGATACCAGTAAGAACAGCAATGTCAAGGGGAAACAAGCCACTCAGACTCGAAAACGTGCCAAGAAGGGGAGTGCACCTGCTCCGAAGCCTGTGGTGGAAGCACCAAAACCACTACCGAAAGATAGAGGAGAACCGCCCGAGTTGGTGATCACTCAAAATGTGGAATTTTTGCCCGAAAAATTTGAGCCGCGCTTCAAAATGATGACTGAAAAGAAGGCGAGAAAGAGGATTGAGTTGGCTGAAATTGCGAATGTCGTCGAGAAGGAGATCCTGCCGACACTTCCGGAAATGGTTCGGAACGAGTTGAAGTATCACGTGGATGTGAGTTTCGGAAGTCTGCTAGATGCTGACCTCGAAAAATGATACTTTGATTGTTAACCTAATGCGAAGTTAAAATTTTGAATTTTCAGAACTTGGTATTTTTTAGAATTACATCAACTTTTCGACTTTTTAGAACATTTCTATCTAATTTTTAAACATTTGTTTTTAATTTTCTGAGGAAGTTCTAGAGCTTTCCTTCTTTGAATTTCACCTTTTGGAGTTTCAGGACTTTTAGAAATTTTCAGGGTTTTCCGAATTTTTTTGAGCTAGAAAAAAACCCGAAAATCCAAATTAGAAAAATCCACGATTTCGAATTACCAAAAAATTCTGAAATTCCAGAATTCTGGAATTCCGAAAAATCCAAATCTTTCAAAAATTCAAAAAAATCTGAAACTTTAGAAATTTGAAAATTTGTGACCTAGAAAAAAGACCGACCCTTTTTTCCAAGGACCGAAGCCAATATTTGACTTCCAGAGACGCCCACCGTTCGACCCCAACTTCAAAGTCCAATTCGACAACAACAACTCGGTGGTGACCCAGCCAACCGCCGCCGGTACACTTCCGGCCAATCCCCTAACACCACAGGCGGCTCCGGCGGCCGTGACGCCTACATTCACCCCATCTGGCACGACTCCAGCCAAATTGAAGACTGTCACTCGTAGACGATCGAAGTCGACGGCGAAAAACAGCAAAAGCGACTTGGCTCAATCGAGTACAAGTGCTCCTGAGAAGAAAACGGTTCCGGAGAAGCAGAAGACGGGCAGAAGACGTGGAAAATAGCTTTGATCTGTTTTTTGAAATTTTACTTCACCTAATGAAGCTTTTTTTATTTTTTTTCCTTCTATGAACATTGCCCTTCGTCTAAAAAGGCCCTCTGAAGAATAAGCAAGTTTCCTCTGCTTTCTTCACGTGAAACCAACAACGAAAAGAAGAAGAATAAGAAGATAGAGAGTTGACGAGAGAGTGTGTGACTAGAAGAGAGTGGTTAGAGAAAAATGCGAATTTGAGTTTTGCACGCAGACGCCTAGTGGCAGTTGTTGTGTGTGTCCATCTATTCACTCACTGCGTTTTAGAATTGTCACAATCACCACACATTTTCATGTTGAACTTCTGAATTTTCATATTTAATGAGACGAATTTCAAACTTAACCAATTTTTAAAATTTTATTGTCAGAGATTTGTCGACTCAAAAATTGCTTTGTTTGATTTTTTTAAAATATTTATATTTTATAAATGTAGATCTAAACTGTACCGCCCATCTGTGTTTCTTTGGCGTCGTGGTGATGTTGTTTACACGATAAGAATCATGCGATAATTCGCAACTGCCGTCGACCTTTTTTTGTGTAGTGTGTGTGATGTTTTTCGAGTTTCTAAAGTAATTTTCAGCAAAAAATCTGGAATTTTGAGCCAAAAAAATGGATTTTTAACATTCAAAAAGGCTAAATCGTGTTGAGACCCTTCGTCTTCCATGCATGTTCCTTTAACAAAGTCCACCGTAGTTTAAAGGAACATACTTCAATATGACGTAGGGTTTCGACACGATATCGTTTTTTGACACATTTTTGTGAATTTTTTTGCGAAAAGTCTGAATAAAACTATGAAAATCGTCGGAAATTTGAGAAAAAAGCAAAAAAATCCTCTTTCCTGTAAAAATTTGTTCATCTAAATTAGCTCTGATGTTCTAAAAGTTTCGAGTTTTCTCGCATTCTGCACGTCTTTTTCTCTCATCTTCAGGGTTGTTTTTCACTATGTTCATTGGTCAAGAAAAGTCTAGTCGGCAGAGAAGAGAAATTCCCGAAAAGTAGCGGAAATTTACAGTTTTCTAGTTTTGTAAAAAATTTTTCTTGTATTTTGCGAATTTTCTATTAATCTTCTGTGAAAAAACCAGGAATTCCGAGCAAAAAACTCACTAAAGAGAACTAAAAAAGCTTCAAAATCTTCGAGAAAATGCTAAATCGTGTTGCGACCCTTCTTCTTCAATGCATGTTCCTTTAAAAAAAGTCTACTGTATAATTAAAGGAACATGTTCCGATGAGTTAGGGTCTCGACACGATATCGTTTTTTTTCGATTTTTTGACCGATTTTCAAATGATTTTTTCGGTAATACGTGCAGTAGAACTTGTTGATTTCGACAGAGAAATCTCAACGAATCAGTGATCGTCTTGTGATTTTTCTGTTTTGAAACTCTTGCAGGGTACCTTCTCCTCTTGCTTTGTCGTTCTCGGAAAATGATTTCCCAGCTCGCTAAACCATTTTTTCAGAACATCGCAAGATGTATCTCCAACTGCTCAAACCCCATTTGCTCCGATGCTCGACCCGCCCTTCCTCCTCATACACTCGCCACCCAATCGACCAAAAATGGGCGGCAATGGCGAAAAAAGCCATGAAAGGTCGTGAAGCCGACACTCTGATGTGGAATACTCCAGAAGGAATTCCAATCAAGCCACTGTACCTCCGAAGCGATCGTGAGTGTGACGCCGAGCGAAATGTTGAACTTCCCGGACAATTCCCATTCACCCGGGGCCCATATCCAACAATGTACACTCAACGACCTTGGACCATTCGTCAGTATGCAGGATTTTCAACTGTCGAAGAGTCGAATAAGTTTTATAAAGAGAATATCAAGGCGGGACAGCAAGGATTGTCGGTTGCCTTTGATTTGGCTACTCACAGAGGGTAATTGATTGTTCTAAACATTCAAATTCATTTTTTATTCCTCCAGATACGATTCTGACAACCCGCGTGTGTTCGGAGACGTCGGAATGGCTGGTGTCGCCGTTGATTCTGTGGAAGACATGCGTCAACTGTTCGACGGGATTAATCTCGAAAAAATGTCGGTTTCTATGACAATGAACGGAGCTGTGATTCCAGTGCTCGCCATGTACGTTGTGGCCGCTGAGGAGTCTGGAGTTAGCCGAAAACTGTTGGCTGGAACTATCCAGAATGATATTCTCAAAGAGTTCATGGTTCGTAACACCTACATCTACCCACCAGAGCCATCGATGCGAATCATCGGAGACATTTTCGCGTACACCTCCCGCGAAATGCCAAAATTCAATTCTATCTCGATTTCCGGCTATCATATGCAAGAGGCTGGAGCTGACGCTGTTCTCGAGATGGCGTTCACGATTGCCGATGGAATTCAGTACTGTGAGACTGGAATCAACGCCGGGCTTACTATCGACGCATTCGCCCCTCGCCTTAGTTTCTTCTGGGGAATTTCAATGAATTTCTATATGGAGATTGCCAAGATGCGTGCCGCCCGTCGTTTGTGGGCCAATTTGATTAAGGAGAGATTCTCGCCGAAGAGTGATAAGAGTATGATGTTGAGAACTCATTCACAAACTTCTGGATGGTCATTGACAGAGCAGGTGGGTCTAGAGCCTCTAGACTAGAGACTACAAACTACAAGTTCTAAATCAGCATGCATTTTTATAGTAAAGTTAAAATTGTTGGACCAAACCGAATTCTTTTTCCCAACTTTTAGGCCCAAAAATTACCTTTTAATAGTGAATTTTGAGCTTAAAAACCGGAAAATCTGAATTTTGGGGTTTTTGGGACCAGAAATTTCAATTATGGCATCAAAAATTGAGCTCTTAGACGGTGAATTTTGAGCTATTCCGGCATACTCCTCAGAAATCAAAAAGTCAAAGTCGAATTATTGAACAATCGATTTTTGCTTTAAAAACTGATGAAAATCCACTTTACGTTTCGCTATACCAAAATTAGATGTCAAAATTCAAAATTTTTGTGTTTTTTGGCGATCTTCCAAGTTTTTTTTCGTATTTTTTTTGAATTTTTGGGGTTTTAAAGCTCAAAATCTAGAGTTTTAGCATTAAAAATCTTTTTTGACGGTGATTTTTAAGCTATTTTGAGTAATTTTTGACATCAATCTTGAATTTCAAACAATCGATTCTTGGAGAAATTTTCAAGGATTTTCAAAATTTTTCATCAAAAATTGCTATTTTGGCTCTGTTTGAGGACTGATAATTTTGAAAAAAATTGGGGGTTTTTAGGACCAAATTATTTTTTTTCAATTTTTCGAAATTTGAGCTTCACACCCCCAATAACCGGTACCCCATTTCCAGGATCCTTACAACAACATCATCCGTACCACCATTGAAGCGATGGCATCTGTCTTCGGAGGCACCCAATCCCTCCATACCAATTCTTTCGATGAAGCTCTCGGTCTCCCAACCAAGTTCTCGGCCCGTATCGCTCGTAACACCCAGATCATCATCCAGGAGGAGTCTGGAATCTGCAAGGTCGCTGATCCATGGGGCGGATCTTATATGATGGAGTCGTTGACTGATGAGATCTACGAGAAGGCGTTGGCGGTGATCAAGGAGATCGATGCGTTGGGTGGAATGGCCAAGGCGGTGGCTTCAGGAATGACGAAGCTGAAAATCGAGGAGGCCGCGGCTAAGAAGCAGGCTAGAATCGATGCTGGAAAGGATATTATTGTTGGAGTCAACAAGTATCGATTGGCTGAGGAGCAACGTGTCGAGGTGTTGAAGATTGATAATAAGAAGGTTCGAGAGGAGCAGTGTGCCAAGTTGAATAAGATTAGAGAGACGAGAGACGCCGAGAAGGCTAAGAAGGCGTTGGATGCGATTACTGAGGTATTTTTAAATGTTTTAAAGTGGTGTACGGTACTCTTAAGGGCTTAATTTACGTTAGGCGCCTTTAATACCGTAGTACCAAATGTTGTCAATTAATTTTTAAGAGGAAAAATTCTTCCAAATCCAAAAATTATGAAAATTCAAAGAATTCAAGTTTTCGAAAAAATCCAGAAAATTCCGAAAATTTTGAAACCTCAAAAACTGTAAAAATACGGAAAACTTAGTTTTTGAAAATTCAAAAACTCCAAAATCCGAAAATTCTGAAAAAACAATCCAAAAAAAGTCCAAAAACTCGAAAATTCTAAATATTCAAGTTTGTGTAAATCCGAAAAAAAAATCTTCTCAAAATTCAATGAAATTTAAGAATTCCAAAATTATGGAAATTTCAAAAATACAAGATTTCGAAAAAAAAAGTCCAGAACTTCAAAAATTTGAAAAACTCAATATTTTCCAAAATTCCGAAAATTCCAAATTCTCTGAAATTTCTAAAAATTCAACTTTTTGAAAATCCAAAAATTCCAAAAACTCAAGATTTGAAAGACAAAATTCAAAATTTCCAAAGTGTTAAATTTCCGAAAAAAATCCAAAATATCCAAAAACTCTAAAAATACTAAAAATCCGAAATTTTGAAAATTCAAAATTTTAAAAAATTAAAAAATTCCAGAAAATCCAAGAGTTTGAAAAATAGAGAAATTCCCAAAACTCTGAAAATACTAAAAGTCCAAGTTCTTGAAAAAATCATAAAATCCCAAAATCTGAAAAAATGAATCCAAAATGTCCAAAATCTCCTAAAAGCGCGTCTTCTATTCCAGGGCGCTCGTGGAGACGGAAACCTTATGCAGCTGGCTGTCGAAGCCGCCCGTGCTCGTTGCACCGTCGGAGAGATTTCAGATGCTATGGAAAAAGTCTTCAATCGCCACGCAGCCGTCAACCGACTGGTGTCAGGAGCTTATAAGTCAGAATTCGGAGAGACTTCGGAGATGTCACAGGTTCTCGATCGTGTCAAATCCTTCGCCGATCGTGACGGACGTCAGCCACGTATCATGGTTGCGAAGATGGGACAAGATGGACATGATCGTGGAGCCAAGGTCATTGCCACCGGATTCGCTGATCTTGGTTTTGATGTAGACGTCGGACCACTGTTCCAAACACCACAGGAAGCTGCTCAACAAGCCGTCGACGCTGATGTCCATGTTATTGGAGCATCCAGCTTGGCTGCTGGACACTTGACCCTTATTCCACAATTGATTGGAGAGTTGAACAAGCTTGGAAGACCGTAGGTGGCCTAAGACTACTGTGACCTAGAAAAATTTCTTCCAGAGACATCCTGGTCGTTGCCGGAGGCGTCATCCCACCACAGGACTACAAGGAGCTGTACGATGCTGGAGTCGCGTTGGTCTTCGGTCCGGGAACTCGTCTCCCAGCTTGCGCCAACCAGATCCTCGACAAACTTGAGACCGCCCTTCCACCAGCTCCAGGAAAGGTGGCGGCTCGTTAATTTTCGTTTTGTGTGTTTTTTTTTCATTTTGCCCGATTTCCCCTGTTTCCTATGATGTATAATATTATGTGCAAAGAAAATGCGCTAACTTTAGACTAACTGGTTATTGTAGATTTTAGTACTATTTTGTTTCCTGTGCCATTTTTACAGCATTTTGTGCACCACCTCACTGAAATTCCCCAGCTCCAATAAAATATTCTCCTCACTTTTCAGATTTTTATGATTTTTATTTTTCCATTCAACAGAAAAGTTTTTTTCCGATGTTCGGAATGGCCTTTCCGATGTTCGGACTTTCCGATGTTCGGAATGGCCTTTTCGGAATGTCGAAAATTCCGATTTTCAAACAAAAACTAACTTTCAACGATTTTCGACTTTCAACGATTTTCGATCAGAAATCCCACTTTTTCATCACAAAATCGCGAAAAATTGGTGAAAAATTGACAAAAGTCGATTTATGTAACGCAAAAAAGCATCAAAATTAGTTCTGCTCGAAGCCCGCAAGAAAATTTTTTGCGTGCGCCTTTAAACATACCGTAATGCTTTACAGGGGCAGGCATTTTTCGTATTTATTTTCGGCCTATTTTTCCGTTTTTTCTGATGAATTTTATCGACTTTCAACTTTTTTCCCCACAAATATCGAGAAAAATCATTATAAACCGCCTAAAAACAGCAAAAGTTGTCGAAAAATCGGAAAAATGCTGAAAATAAAAATCGGAAACATTCCGGTCGGAATCCAGATTCGAGTACAGACCAACCCTGCTTCGGCCAAGCTCCATTACATAAACAAAATCCAAAACCTCAAAAAAAGCTGAAAATTAAAAAGTAAGAGCTGTCAAAGCCCCCATGGGGTAGTGGGGGAGTGAAGAAATAACCGGAAATGTTTGCTGGGGGAGTATAGATATATATTGCCAAAGAGGAGGAGGAGACAAAAAGAGAATACATGGAAATGGAGATACATGTTTTTTTCTGTTGTTGGTGGTGGGGGCTCAAACAGAGACTTCTGGGTCAGAAGTTTTTTTGCATACTTGTTACTTTTGCGCTTAGATTTTCTAATATTTAGGTCATGCGCCTTTAATACCGTAGTCTCAAAATTTTTTAATTAAAGGTGGT